AACCAGGTGCAATAATTATATAGTAGTGGACTTCCCATACGAAAAGTACCATCAAGAGTTTCGAAAAGAGTAAGCATGGTCTGCTTCGCGACACCCGCCACTACTATAAAGGTCAAAATCATGTGGTGCAAAGAGATCAATTTATGTCTGACTTAACAAATCTGCCAAGATGCAAGCAGATTTGTCGTATTTGACAAGGAGTTCTCGGTATCATGTATCGTTATTCCTAACACAGGAATAATCCCCGACTTATTGTCCAAATAAACTGATGATAGTGTAAATTTATGGTATTGAGTTCCGTTACGTATATTCTGTAATGACCAGAATAATAATTAATTAGACACGTAATAAGTTCAATAACGGCCCTAAGTCTTTTATCTAAAATGTGTATCGAAACATTGTAACAATTTGAAAATTTCTTCGTCGGTAAATTCAAAGAGTAATATCAGTTAGGTATATGAATTCCTTTGATGTCGCGCTGTTGTCAAACAATACCCGTCTTTGAGACACCAATCACATTGTCACTGACTCATTGGTCAGATTTGTGTAGAGTTTTCATTTCATATTATATTGTGTAGTTGGTAAGTCGGGTTTTAAGGATGTTTTGGAATTCCGATTCTGTTACCGTTAAGTCAAACATTATATTATCTGATTTTTAGCGACATCAATATCTTCAGTTAGTTTCTACTCTGCGAATATATTATATGTCATTCCAATTTGAACTAACGACAAACCCACGTAGCTTAAGTTATCCGCGATATACCTGTTTTCTGAACCAAATTTCACATCTTTCAATATTGTCACATCAGATTGTTTTAAATAGTATAAATATGCAAATGACACATCACCTTTTTGTAGAATTATAGGTAAACATGGAAAACTTTTTGAAAAGTAGAAATGTTAATTCTGAGTTAATAAACAAAATGAAAGATGACGGGGTAAGTGTAAGACATTTTTTAAAACATCTTATACACTTACGTGGAATTGTGGACGTTTATTGCCGTCACCCCTGTCGGTCCGTCCACATCTATATTGATGAGATCTTAGTTAAGTTCGAATTTCACGATTTTTCGATGAAGGGTATTTGATTTCGGGGAAGGGAGGGTTTGAATCTCCCAAATATACAGGCCTAGGATTGAACAAATACTTTATTGAGAATTGGTATTAAGGGTCTGCATTCTGGTTTTCTTCTGTTCTGATCTAAAATTAGAAAAAAAAGGAACTTGTCCATTGGGCGAGTGGTATAGTTCCTGTTTATGTATTGATTGGTTTTTAGTTTGCTATGAACCAGATTGTCATTTAAGTTCTGATTTTTTGAGTATGCAACTATCTTGTAGTGGGCATGAACTATCTTGCTTGCTCGATAACGGGCCAACAAATGGGGGTTGTGCCTGCATATTTATGAATGTTGAGTCCTGTAGATCTTGCTGTATTCAATGTCTCATTCCAGTAGGCTTCTCTAGATTGTCGGAATTTTGTAGTTTTATCTTCCGGTAAATTAATTTCTATGCGTTCATTTGGGGTTTGGGTGAGGTCGTTTAATGAAATGGTCATCGAGGTTGAAAAGATTAGAAACGGGCTTGTCTTTCTTTAATTTTTATATCTGATCTGTGAGCATTAAAACGGATGCGTAAATTATTCTTAGTTTCGAATTTGGTTATTTTTCGATGAAGGATATTTGAGTTATTGTCCTTGACTTATTAAAAATGTTTCAATACATGTTTGTGAACACACTAGACTCTACTGTTTTTAATCTGCATGAAATGTTACATTTATCACCTATCAAATTAATAAGTTTCAGTTTATTTCTGGGTGACACACCAAACACATCACCTTTAAATACATGATGATCCACAGATCTCCTGGAAAGTATCAATTGTTTCTTTGATAGCAGCTTTTACATTTTGGATATTCGGGTCACCCGAACAATCGTTGACTCTGTGTCGTTTCCCGGAGTGACTTTGGTATGATGGAACGAACGTAAATTGTCGAAAGTACGACACTGCCAATATTTAAGATGATTTTAATCATATCTCTGTCCTGCGGCGGAGGTTGTTTCCTTTTAAGTTCAGTTAATGCGACAACCTAGCTCTTTTCACAAAGATTCAATTTCTGATGTTTGAGATGCATTAACTTCTTAAGACTTTTCTTATTGCATTTTTTTAACTTTCGTTCATTATGTTTTTGAGAAACACGTTTAAGTTCTTGAATAAGAAGCTGATTTGGAGTGTCACTTTCTAATAAAGTCATAAGGCGTATGACATAGTGCATGGCTATATTTGGACTTGGGCTCATTAATATTCATGAAAAGCAAGAGGATTTGCAGCGAAAATGGCTTATACATATTAATGAGGGAAGTAACCCAAGCGTCATACAAATATACTAAATTCTATCAAGACCGAATACCACCAGTACCGTACCACTCATATCATCGCCTAACCGATTCTCTCTCCCGCACCCTCATCGCCGCCAAATACCAGTCCACGATCCAATCCAGAAGCCCCACAATCCAAAACCAATACAACCTCTCGTCGTCGTTTGAGTCTGATTCGCCACCACAATGTAAACCAAGACGCCACGAAAACCAAAAAGATATAACCAAATGGTCAATGCCTAATATAATAAAGTCAACTCTCATAATTGGTTCTTCGAACGTGAGCAACATTCCCACTATTGATCCTGATATGTAAGCTGAACCCTTTCCCGGTGCGCGTGTTCATCACATAATCCATTTACTATCCAAAATATCACCATCTACAGTTCAGAAGAAGGTCTTATTTCACATTGGTTTGAACAACAGAGACGAATCTGGTGAATCAATCCATAGACGAATGATGGAATTGGTAAAATTAGCTAAAGTAAAATTTCCCACAGCAGCTATATTTGTTACTCAGATACCATTTTCCAAAGGTCTTTAACTTTCAGATCCCCAGTCAGCTACCAACCCAAGAAGATTCAACGACCTGTTATACCACAAGCCTTCATTCGACGCGAAAACTAGTCCCCGCTTCAATGGAATGATTGGTGTCTTTTCGGATCACATCCACTGGATGGCCCCCACTGCTAAAGCTATTTATTCACAATTGGTCTCCCATTTAAACTAAAAGCAGGGGGAAACATCGTAAAACTAGGCCAGACCGTCGTGAATCTGAGCTCGCTTAAACTTTTCTCCCCTTGAAGAAAGAACTTTTATCCCTACATCTAAACCTCTTTCACGTGTACCAATTTTGTCGTCGGTTAAGCACGTCAATAGGACTTTTAAACTAAATTATTTTTTTTCGAGAAAGATTAGGTCGAGGAAAGCGAAACCCGTTCGTAGAAAAGTCTGGCTGGAATCCACCAGACAATGCGATTGACCATAATATTTTGAGTAAGTGCGACAGTCTATACGAAGAAGTCTCTCGTTTACCACTGGTAAACGAAAAGAACAACCTTATCAATTTTGAGCGCTATATTTTGAACACCTTGAAAGAAGATCCGACCATTATTATTAGAAAGAGTGACAGGGGTAATTGCTGTGTCATTCAAAATCGCGAAGACTATATTTTTGAAAGAGATAATCAGTTAAATAATGCCAATCACTACCGCGAATTAGATCTACCAATTTTTATGGAAACTGCTACGAAAATTAACGATATTTTGAAAATTTTGGTACAGAAAGGTTTTTTTCGGAAACTCAATATGACTATCTTTGCGCAAAACCGGAAGTCCGTCAACGTCACATTTATACTTTACCGAAAATTCACAAAAATCCTGGATCCGAATGGCGTGTGGCAAATAGCATACCTAAGGGTAGGCCGATTATTTCTGACTGTTCTAGCGAATCTTACCAAGTTTCCGAATACATTGACCACTTTCTGCTACCATTGGCTTGTAAACATCCGTCTTACTTGAAAGATACTACTGACTTTATTGAAAAAAATAAAAAATTGGATATACCAGACAATGCGCTATTTATTTTATGTCTCTTTATGTCTCATTAATTCTCGTTTAATCTCCTACGAGGCATTATTATTCTGTCTTCAAAATATGTCTGACAATGTCGAGGTCAATTCAAGAGTAGAGGTCAAGGACGCGGGAAACCCCACTTGAGAGTTACTTCCCCTTGTGATTAACTAGACTTACACTATTTTCGTGTACAATGTTTGGTCTATAAATAAGTCTAGAAAAACACGTTGTATGGATACCGGGTATCCTTGTAATTTCTCCAGAAGTAATAATCTATGAATAATCTTCAGTAAAACATATTCTGTTTGAATTGAAATAGTTTTCATGTTGAAATCCATAGTCTCTACTTGTGACCTAGGCCAGTGCTTCTATAGGAGAGTGTCTTCTATAACACCTATAACAATAAATTAACTAAGTTCTCAAATAATTAACGCTGCCAATACTTATTCTTATTCTAAACATAAACATGGATGACTTATGTAATGCCCATTTTGTTACATAATTAATAGAAATAAAAGTTAGGCCTATCCTTTTTCACAGCTTAAAATACGAAATGAATCTTCAAAGCAGAAGATTATCATCTCCCTTTTGGAGTTACCACATGCTTCAGACCACAGCAGTATTCAGAAATTTAAGTATCCCCCTAACCGATACACGGTAACACAAACAACGTAACAAAAATTCCACCGGTTCTTTTTGAAAGGCTGAACTCAAAGTTATCTTTTATAAGGCTTAAAAGCACCGGATTTGAAAGCTAACGGGCAGTGGCGGGGCCAGGTTTAGGTCCGTTTGGTGGGGAGGGGGGGGGGGATATCACCTAGTTATGAGGCTGAAACCAAATACGGCTTGTTGCAATTGTTGCAAGCGTCCCCCAAAGAAAATTTTCCAAAAATTAAATTGATTTGGTTCATTCAGACACACATTTGGGGGCTCTAAATCATATTTTTGGATTTGGTAAAAATAAAGTGGGGGTTCAATTGGGGGTGCAAACCATTTTTCTATTGACTCTCAAGTAGGATTATTCCAAATGTTTCCAAGTCTTCTGAATTAGTGCATATAACTACATTAAATAGTGCTTAGTCAGTCTAGGAATATCTTGTTTAATGCGAAAGGACGATTTGGCTTCGGGGCGATCTACCTACTTCCGTTTCTCAAAAGGACAAATTACCTCCCTTTAATCTCATGAACATCCTTGCCGATCTTGGTTGGATGATATAAACCTTTCTTCGGTTGTTTAAAAGACTGCAAATCTAGGCTTGAACAGTGAGATAGCATTTGTAAGCTAGTTCTTATTGCTGGTATTATTATGTATGAATTTTTTTTCTCAAATGTACCATTTATCTTAGAATTTCTTCAGGTCCATTTTAATATGAGGTTCAGTATTTTCCTTTTTGTGTTCATAAATATATAAACATGAGCACAGTCACTTGAGTGCAATTTGTAATTGTGTTTTGACTCATTGTTATTAACAAAAATGTAGGCCATATATTCATCAAGGCAAAGTCACTCAAAGTCTTAAATTATCACTGTTCTGAAGCTTTAATTATTCTATATACAAATAAACTTGCCAGTACATTAGTAGTAGCCACATGATTGCAAACCTTGGCCTGGGCAGGTGCTTTGATGTGCAGAACTGTCTCACCTTGACTGAGCAGCCTATCAAAGTTCTTCGGCCTTTCGTTTCAATTGGTAATTAGAATACTAATAATATAGGAAACTTAATGAATAATATTTTCCTTTACAGTAATGAGTAAGAAAATGTTAACTTTACAGTTGCATGTTAAAGGGAGAGCACATATCGAGTTTTTCAGTCGTTCGCTCTGTATCGTTAAAAATTATAAACTGCAAACGTGTAGAAACTGTCACATCAAGTCAGCAGTGGGTTTATATTCTAATGAGGTGAAGAAAAAACTTATTTTCCACCCAACTTCAAGGCTATTGTGCCATAACAAGTTATTTCATAGCAGCCATTATTTAGCCGATAATAAGGACAGTTTACACAGTAAATCTGATTATAATGAAGACCCTGCATTAAATAAAGTGAAGGTAGATCCAAGTAGAACTAGCATTGATGGGTATGAAACAGTGTTTTCATTTGGATCTATAGTGTTATATCAGCTTTTTTCAAGATTAAAAATATATCAATCTGTGGGTACTATTGGACTATTGCTTGTTTCAGCGTATAGTAGTAATAATGAAAACCTGTTTGATGCAACTCTGTTAGGATTTACAGTTTCCAGTTCAGTGGTGTTATTAGCTTTATTTACAGCTAGTTTTTACATCAAAAAGATTGTTGGAATAATAGGTGTAAATAACATGGGTGATCAAATTAAACTAGCACATGTATCATATTGGGGAAGACGTGAAAATATGTTAATCCCAATAGACAATTTAGTTCTTCCTCTTCCATTTGATGGGAATAAATATGTGATACGTTTAAAAAACAGTCCAGATGTATTTTATCTAATTCCATCGAAAGCAAACTATTACAACTCTTATCTAATGGATAAAGTGTTTGGAAAACTGGATTGAAAATAAATGCAAGGTTTTCTGTGGATTACGGAAGGATTGATTTAAATGAAATGGGAGTCTTGCTTCATCCTCTCTGATCTGAAAATGGACATTGAAGGTACCCTGCTCTTAAAGTTGTATTAAAAAAAAAAGATAAATTTAGGCTGCACAGATTTCTGTTCGATTTCCATGGACTTTCTTGTTGAGCTTGAAACGAAATGAACAATAAAACAAAAGATTTTGCAATAAAAACAAAGATTTTTTTATTTTTATTTAAAATGGATTTTTAACCATCCACAGCAGAAGTTATGAATATCAGCACTTAGAAAACAGACCAATAAAAGACATACAGAATAATAATAATAACAAACAAGTTTGGTAGTACTATACCTTACTTGTTTTATGAAATCTTTTCTCGTAATCAAGATAGTTGTTTTGACAGAAGTAATCATGAAAGATACATGGTCATATAACACTTCCAATCTTTTCATAACATTCTGTCAAAAAAAACATTAATCAATCCAGTAGCCAGTAACACAACTAATATCATTCAGAATCTTATTGATGACTGGATTGATCAGGACAAATTCAAGGACAATTATAACTCACAGACAATTTTGGGGTACAAATAGTATGTTTCTCTCTCCACGTAGTAACAAAAATCCTGATCCTAAAACTTTGTGATCACTTCACAACAAATCTTATCCAATTTCATCTAACAAATATAGCTTAAACCTTTAAAAAATAATGGCTTACTGCCAATCAAATAACTAACAAAACAAGCTTTTCTATGCTTCCAAAATTATGACAATATTACTGATCCACAGTCAATAGTTTAAATTATTTTAAACAGAATTGACATTAACAGTAAACAAATATTTTTAATGCAGATCTGGGCTCAATTAATTTTTCTTTTTTATGTTTGCAAAGATCTCCAGATGAGCAAAAATATGATTTTCAAGTTTAAATTCTGGATTATACCAACTTTATCATAACAAAATATAATCAAATTATTCAGAAAATGTCTTTTTTTCCATTTTTTTTTTTAAATATTCGTTTCAAAATTTACCTTAATAATTTGTATCTTTCAATGGCTTAAAATAATTTCAACTGTAAAAACTAAAAATACTAATTGCGATAACTAAACAAAAGAAACTAAAGACTTTTTCTAAGAAATATTCAAACATTTGCCACTAAACGTAATTCAGACTATAGACAAGTGGAATTTTTATCCAAACCTCACTTAATCTTTAACATGTAAGTTCAATTCTCTTCAATTCATTCTAATCTGAACATTTTTTGCTTAAATTTACACCTCATATGATGCATTCATTACTGATTTTTCCAATGTTCTGACAGACCATTGATGACGGTCATATTCACGGCCAGACCTTTGTCTGGTCTCACAGGATTTACTATTTAGATGTCACTCGTACAGGTAAAAGGCTTAGCTGTAGTCGTGAGAAAAATGTCTTCTTCTTATCACTGACTATTACTAGATGCCTGTTATCTTCACACATTAAAGTGGTGTCATAATCAGTTCAAGGATGACAATTCCACAGGATTGACAGCAACAGTGGCTAACATTGTTGACATCTAACTGCATGGGCTGCCATCCTGATCGAAGTATTCGATATTTTTCTTAAATCAAAGGAGTCTATAATTTCAATGGTGTTCCGTACAACATTGAAATATGTCTCAACTAAGAATTGTTAATAATAGTACCTGGGGTCAATTACTTGGTAATTAAGAACCTTTATTACAATAACAGATCATGTCATTGAAATATGATGTTATAGTTGTAATTGATAACAGCTGATGACAATTACTATTACCCCAGGTACAGTAGAATGTCAGGGTGAATGTCATACTTAATATATAATAAATATAACAACAATTACTATACTACTCTTGTCAAAATTTTTCATAACAATTGAAACAATTATAAAATCCTTTAATACATGTGCAGAGTTATCTTGATTAGTGTCCTTTTGCATTTCACCAGAAAATGAAATCAATGTTTTAGTAAGCTGGTTCCATATAAGACTGATATTTATTTTGAACTTTGTCGTGAATTAAAGAACATAAAGACCTTAAGAAGTTATTTTTTGTTTCTGCCAATTGTGGTTGGAACTAAATTCAAAATACTATTTTTTTGTTAAACTTACATGAAAAATAATTTTATGGCAGATATAAAGATATTATAACCGAAAATAATTGGTTACATCCTGCAGATTGTTCAAATTGTTATCATAAATTTTGACTAAAGAATATATTATTCTAACAAATAGATATCAAAATTACAAACAAGGTTAAAATCACACAATTCTGACAAGACTTTTTTTCATTAAGATTAAAAACACATGTAACCATTGTTATTGTAGCTGTATAGCTTTACATAAATTCTCCAATTGATCAATATTTGAAAAGAAGTTAAGACATGCCAGAAAAAAGTAAAATTCTTGTGAAAACAGAGTGATTTTAAAAAAGTAATCATGATAATATCTAATAGAATAAAACTCAATAGTTGTCACATTTCAGGTCAGTAACAGGGCAGATAACTCTACTGTTTCTGCTCCTCTTCTTCAGGATTAGCTGCAAACTGTCCCCAGTTACTAGTGCCTGTCTGAGTTGATCCAGGAGCCCAGATAGCTTGAACTGGTCCAAATGGATTGAAACTTCCAGAAGATGTAATCTGAAATAAAAAATTGCAAATTCAAGAACAAAATCTTACATACTTCTTTCTGAATGATTCTTGATTCTTTTCCCTCATCAAAATAAGATACAATAAAGGACAAAGACAAGCAATAGCACAAATGAACAAAAGTCAAAGCAGCACTACAAAAAGGCCTTTCTATTTCATAATTGTCCTGGAAAAAGTAGTCAACAAAAAATAATATTTACTGGAACAGAAGGAGAGTTTGGATTGGTTCCATCATTGACAATACTGTCAGTTGGTATGGTTGGTGCAGCACTTGTACTTGGTGTGTTACCCCAAATACTAGCAAACGAATTCCATCCACTACTAGCAGAGTTACTTATGGTGTTCCAGAAACCACCAGGCTATATAAAAAAAATAAGTATTAAATGGTCGAATTACTACAATGAAATGAATTGACATTTGCCAGTCCATGACCTTTATAATACTATTTTTTATTTTTTTGGCAGAGTTCATGTCTAAGTTTCTCTCCCAGTGTTAATTAGATTTAAATCCAGCAAGACAATCACCAATTGAAAATGACAGTCCTAAATTTTGAAGAGTTGAAGTTAAAATACTAAGGATGACAGTAAAGATATATATATATATATATAGTCAAATGAAACAGATATTAGACCCAAGATCTGATCAAACTTACATTACTATTAGGTGGACTATCCGTGTTGGATGACCAAGCTGTAGCATCTAAAGGTGAATCCCATAAACTGTCACTTCTTACTGGTGGTGCATCAAATCCTGGCCAGCCAACTCCTAAAATATTAATAAGATCTACTAAGACTCACTGGCCAAGAAAAAGGGATTTTTGGAAAATAAATTTAAAGGGAGAAGGTATGCCATTTTGGGGGGTTGGTTTAAGTCTTGAATATATGTAAATAATTTTCGGAAATACTAGAAGCGTTAAAATATCGCGTAATTCCTTATAAAACACTTCAAAATAGGAATTTTACTCACTAGTTTTATATATGTCTTTTCAATATCACAGAGTATCTTAAAATGACAAGTCATTTTAACATTCAGTCACGGATAATTCTAGATACATCTGGATTTGAAAGCTCAAATTCGACGGTGAGCTGTGAACACTATAATTGATTAGTTTAGCTAGAAAATTCCCATTTATGAGACTAAAGTATGATTGGTCAAATAAAATAGCGCATCTGTTCCTTTAATATAAAATTGTTCAAATTTCAAAATTTTTTTACTGTTAGACTTCTATTTGACTTTTATTAAGACTGTGACATGAAATTCCAAATATCTAGTAAAGTGGCATACATTGCTTCATTAAGTGATGTCATGAGTAATGTTTGACTAGTTTTAAAAAATCCCCACAGAAAAAACAAACCTTGATGAAGCATCCTCATTTGATGTTCTTGTGTACGACGTCTCCTTTCCACTTGTAACTGTTGCATCATAGTCAGTTGTTGTGATTGTGGAAGGGACTCAATATTAGCTGAACTATAATTAGAGTAGATTCCACCAATACCTATAAACATCATAATCGGATTATTCATATAAGATGATTAGTCTAACTCTTGATTCCAAACCTTGGAGTACTACCACCCCAAATGGAAACAAGCAAAATCCTACTGGGGAAGGACTGTATTATGAAAACCTACGCGACAATTCTAAATGGATTGGTTAAACACAGCTTAAACTCGTACAAATTCTACATCTGGTCTTAACAATGACCACCTGCCTTTCAAGTATAAGTCATCACAGTAATCATAGTGGACAGTGGACATCCAATTCAAATGGATATTTAGACAGCTTAGACTCGTACAAATTCTACATCTGGTCTTAACAATGACCACCTGCCTTTCAAGTATAAGTCATCACAGTAATCATAGTGGACAGTGGACTATATTTAGACAGCTTAGACTCCTACAAATTCTACATCAGGTCTTAACAATGACCACCTGCCTTTCAAGTATAAGTCATCACAGTAATCATAGTGGACAGTGGACATCCAATTCAAATGGATATTTGAAACATACACCTACCATTAGGAGCAGTATAACCATATTCAGAAGTTGGTTGAGTTCCAACTGGAACATTATTTGCCATGAAGTTAGACTGGATATTCTCATCTATAGTATGTAAACCAAAACTATTCACTCCACTAAAAAAATACAATCATAAGTATCTAATGTAACAGATTTTTATCATGTACATTAAAAAAAAAATTGTGACTCTTTGCTGAGTTCAATTGAAAGGGTCAGAGGCTAGATAAGACAAAGCATAGCAGACAACACTTAGATAGTATTTGTAGATCCTGTTACCATTTGTACATACATTGATTCTGGTATTGGTATGGGACTACTGGTAGAATTAGTCCATGGATTATTACCCTTGTCTGTTGGTGAAAGTAGTGGTGGTTTGGACAATAAATCTGGAATATAAAGAAGATTAACTAAACTGAAATTGAATGTAATGTATAAAAAACAATTGTACAGTGGTGTAACCTATTTTCGTGGATATAAGGATTCAACACCGAATTTCATCAAAGTTAAAAAAAAATTTTTTTTTTTATGTCTTAGATGTTTCCTCAGATATTCTACAAAATAATTAAAATTAGTTTATTTCGATTTTCTTTATGAATCCTTCACTTTGACCCATATTTCATGAGCAACCAACTCGGCAATGGCAGCAGAATGCGTCACCTATTTTCATGTACAATGTTTGTTCTATAAATAAGTCTAGAAAAACATGTTGTATGGATACCGGGTGATATAATTAACTTCTCTTAGTATTTATCTTTAATATCAATTCATTATAACTAGTGACAGTTCCTTAAAAGAACCACAATTTAAAAAACAAATAGTGACTGACAAAATAAGATACGTAGCGTGATTTATTGCTAAAAGTCACTGAAACAACATACTTTGTCCACTTTGTGTTCCTTAAAATTTTCTGCTGACACGGAATCCGCTAGTTGATCACGTGATTTCATTCATTGGACTAATCCTTTCCGAAAATCCACAAATAATAGGTTTCCACGAAATTAGGTTACTTGACTGTATATGTATGACAAAATCACATACTTCCAGTACTTTCCAGAAGAATGTATAATGTTAGATAGAACAGAAATGTGTCTGTAAACTTATGTTTATACTTATGTAACAACAGCTAACTTACTTGGAAGACCATTTTCAGCAAAAGGGTTGAAAAAGCGTTTGTCATTGGAGCCACGTTTAGTTTTATTGTCATTACCATTACTGCTATTACTAACAATACTACTGTAAGAACTGGAACGACTGGAACTAGACAGACTATCAGGAGAAAAGCCATTAACAGTTCCATTACTGTTCATAGATTTGATGTGTTTAGAGGCAAAATCTTGAGTCTGAATAGATAAATCACTGAGATCGCCTGCAATAAACATTTCAAATTTTTCTAAATGTTTATGAGATATGAGTAGAATAGAAATCAGTCAAATCTATATTCTTGTCAAACATGATCGGCAATTTTTTCATTAATCATTTTAGTCTTTGATCAAATGTTCAAACTGAAAATAGAGTCTTCAAAAGTCTATGAATTGGCAAAATTTTAAGGCAGACAGTTAATCATTTTTAACAATCACAGCAATATAGTTTTAACACTGATACAATATAAGAATCCATCAATAATATTCTGTAATATTCAAACAAAATGTCAAGATTGTTCCAAATCTTCTGACATTGATTTGGCTCATATCAGGCATAATTAAAAGAATTTAGGATTAGAATTAGTCAAGAACTAACTATCACGCCAAAAAAAAAAAAAGATAATAAAAACAGTGCTGATAATATAGATGAAAGTGAAAATAATATAAGATGAGATTAAAGGGAGGTAATCATGCAAACACAGAATAAAGTTATCATGCAGACGAACAATCACCAAACCTAGTAACAGTATACTATATAGACTGATTCCAATGAAATCGAGATAGTTCTACAGTCTATATAATTCATGCAATATTTATTTTCATTTAAGCTAGATCAGGATTTTAGGCATTTCATCAATTGCCAGAACAGGGAATAAATATAATTATTGGCATTAACAAGAACATTTACCAAATAGTTTAAAGCACAAAATGCCATATTATTAGGAAATGATTTTGTTATCCATATCCCACAAATTATGTAAAATGAATGATATACATGTTTGAAAATATATCAAGAATGCTAACCAGGAGTGAGGTTTGATAAATCCCAATTCGGCGGTGGTGAATCTTTACCATGGTCCTCACTATCTGTTAAATCTGTATGAATATAAACAGCACCTAGCAAACAACACATCAACCAATCAAACAACATGCAGTATACAATAGATACAATATTAAATACTGTATATAAATTCTGAAAATCAAATACTTTTACTCTAAATTTGAACAGAAAACGTTATATTTCTATGCATTGTTTTCAAAAGGAAATTTAAGTTTGGAAATAGTACATGTAGTTAATCTATTTGTTGATATCATGATATATATTATGTTATTAAAGTATTTATGTAAATAGTCAACAAGATGACAAATAAATAAACATCAGCCAACAGTCTACATATACAGGGAAATTTCAAAATATTACCGTTGTTGATTTATGGCAAATTCAATATCTCTACTAAAGCAATAGGCCTAAAAATATGGCCCTTCCCATTCCTTGGAGTGGTGTACAGATGGATATCAGCACATTTTCGGCCAGACATAAAATTTTCTTTTCTTTGGAGTTGCCCTGATGCATTTTTGGAATTTTGATAATTTAACTAACCGAGTTGTACATAGAAAGGGAAAGCCTACCCCTCAACTGTATTTTGATACCATGTAGGGCACAGGGACATTGAAGAATATCCAGTAATATCTCGGTAGACTCTTTAATGGTTTAGCTTTGTATATATACCAAAAGTTATACCAAATTTGGTGAAAATTCTCAAAAACTAACGATCTAAAAATGAATCTGAGCAACTCCCATAAAAATGACATTTTATGTTTTATATGTTTGGGTATAAGCTATGAAATGTCCCTGTATATGTATAACTATTGTTGACTAACTATAATGTTATCTACACAAACAACAGTAGTATTCTAGTCTAACTAATAATAAGTGAGTGACATTCTACAGTTTTTAATATACTAACATTACACATAAACACAGAATATTCAATTCTTACTGCTGAAACATATTATCATTATGTTTCAATAGAATGTGTCCAGAATTGACATGGATTTCTAGCCAATTGTTTGGGGCCAAAGAAATAATTAAAGAATACAATAGTCAAGCCAAATAAAACTTGGTGTTGAAACGAAAAATAATTTTTTTATGAGGAACACACAACATTGATTAAGTATTTGTTAAAGTTAAAAGCTAAATACTGACCTTTCTTCTTAGAGGCTTTTGAGGATTTTTTTGATTTATTTTCTTCGGATTTCTCTTCTTTTTGTGGTTTACTTTCCATTGAGTAGGGTAATTCTAATGAACTGTTATAAAAAGTAATCATGTTATCAATATTTAAGACTGCCTTGTTGACTGCTAACAACATGAAATGCTGCAGATTTCAATAGTAAATAGAGGCATGCTCACTCTTTCCTTAACCTGATGCCACTCTGCAATTGTGCTTGTCATCTAGGAATTATATAACAGTGTACAAAGCTGATAAGTTAATGTGTATAAATTTTCTTTAAAAATTCAAAATTCCTGGAAACTGTGAAACAAACGTGTTTGAACATCAAATATAATTTGTAATGAGCAGAGATTTGTGATAGTAATTTTTCCAGAAGATGCAGAAGATATTGGCATGGCCATTTCATTTCTTTTTGACTGGCAAAGCGTGATTTATTCATGCTTCATAATTCGTAAAAGTTTCAATACTAACCTAGGTCGGAGGATGTTTCCTCCAAATGTCTCGTTTGGGTTAACTCTAATCTTACGATGAGCTTTTGATCTTGACGTGAGTAAGAATTCACCTTCACCACTGAAATCATCTAAGACATCAACAGAAGTTGCAACTTTGACTTTTAATCGTTTAGATTTTGACGATGTTATAACAGGTGGTTCTGGTGTAGAATCTCTAGCACTGTACGTCTATAAAATATAATAACTTGTTAAACAAATCTTCATATCTGAACAAAATCATTATTCTAGACTAAGATATAAGCCTTCATTAAAATCAAAGAATAGTAAGGCAACAAACAAGAAGTTTATAAAACAGATTAATATTAAAGTAGATTAATGAAGATGGGCAGTGCCATACAGTATACAATGAGGGAAGTTTTCTTCAACTGCCGTGGGATCATAAATATGATATCTGTATCCCACAGGGCCTCGATTTATTGTCATATTCACATGAATAGATGCTTTTTCTGTATCAGTGTCTCTGACCTGCATCACTGATTAGGGGTAAACAAGTTGAAAAATAACAAAGTATCATCTTGACAAACAATATTTCAGAGAGAATTGATCCTTGAATTTACCTTTTCATCATTATCACCATTAGAAGAATCTGTTGTGGTAGATGATATTTCATCTCTATCATCTGATATAACTGATGAGATATCTTTTAATCCTACAGTACGTAATATATCATTATTCTTACCACGTTTCTTCTTACTACGAGATTTCACTGTAAAAATATCACAAGTTTTACCTGTTAACATATGTATGTGAATACTCATAATTCTTTGCTATCATCTTATTTTTCATAAATAATCAATAACTGGAAACAAGCTCATTAAAATCATTTCAGCATCATTTTTTTTGCAAGTAAGTATTTTCTGTCTAGAGCACTACAACTGCCAATTTTAGTTCCTTATAATAAGACAAAAAACAAAGCAATGAAACAACTTTCTTACCATTTGATCGATTAGGTATAAATTCTTCTTTATCCATCATATCTGTAATATAATCTTCTATAGGGTCATTATAATAGTCACTTCGAATTTTCTTCTCATTATTGTCCTCTTGTTTCTTGTTATATTTTGATTTTCGTAGTTTGTTTTTATCTGTATTGTCATTACTATTATTATTATTACTTGATTTGTCTTTTTCATTGGTCTGTTGTTTTGCCCCACTCTGTGAGCTTGTAGATTTAACTTCTTTTTCTTTTGATGCTTGTCTATCAACTTTCCGACTTGATCGTCGGAAAATCTTTCTTGGAATGAGATTTTTGAGAATACTAAATATACTGGAGAAGAGAGGTTCACGTTGTGCTCTGCGATATTCAACATGGCCGTTTGGTTCTAATATTCTAGCAGGTAGAGGCTGTTTGATTTCAACTGTTTGAGGTTGTGGTATTGGTTTGGGATGTAAGGCTGATAATCCAGCAATACTGTTTAGGTCAAACACTTTTCCTTTATCAAATATCTGTGCAGCGCTGTTAATTTTAAGTTTACGTCTGAGTATATCGGCTACTATTACCCGGTCTGCCTCAAAGTATGCTGCTACTAAGATACAGAAGAAGAAAAAGCCCATAACACAGAGTACAGAATAGTATAAAACTGGTTCCCAATTAGGTCGTGGTAAAGCTGCTGAACATTTAGGTAGTAAATGTGGTGGAACTGTAGCTTGTAATGTATAATTTGCTGGTGGACCTAAACTTGTATAAACTGTTAAACTTCTTCTGATTCTAGACATAGTAAAATCTGGAGTAAAACTGAAAAAAAAAAAAAGATTCGTATTAGATAAATAGAATATTTTTATATTTACATATTATGACAGTAATAAAGTTTGAGCCATAATGATACTATAATGTGATAGTTTATAAAAAATGTCTGTAATGCTAATAGTAGTAGGATGGGTTTGGTGAGAATTGTTATCTATTCTGTTTTGAATGTTGTTTGCTTTTAAAATTTCTAAAAATCCAGAATATGCCATAATCACATATTTGAATTAAAGGAGGCATATTTCTCTACAATTTGGTTTTATGTTGCTAAAGATTGTTCATTAGTTTCCAACAGCATAGCTTATTACAAACATATTCAGATCACAGACTTTTTAAGCATTGGTTCTTCATGACAGCCTTCATCCCTTCACAAAGTGACGTCTAAAGGTAAATAATAATAGATTACTTACGCTATATCTATTTTTCTACTCATATTAGGTAACATTTCAAAACCATCACAGTCTAAAACTTTAAAACCAAATCCTTCACAAGGTGAATCATTAATACTAAATTTATGCACATAAAATGGTAGTTCACCAGTATTTTTTAATGTAAATGTTCTGCGAACTGTAAAATGGGGAACCAATTTACTGGACTTTTTCTCAGAAACTGAAATAAAAATATAGAAAGTCAGTTAAAATTTTATTTCTTTTAAAAATGCATATTCTTAGGGGAAGCAATAGAAACATACATAAAGTTGTCAGGCCTTAGTAGTGAACAAAGATAAAAATTAAGCACATACCAACCCTCTTTTATGACTTAAGTTTTCACCATCGTAGTATCTATATAGAATAACCCAACTTACTATCACAGTTTTTAAGATGCTTTTCTGTCATTTCAAATAATAAAGGTGTAACACTGCCAGGTCTTCTGGTGCTAAATCTTAAATCACCACGCCGACCTTGACCCTGTACAACCACAGCATCAATAATAGTTAAGTTATTCCTGGAAGAAAAAGGACAATGTATAATGAATGAACATAAAACAACCCTCCTTGATATCAAACATTAATATAGCTCAGACAGTTACATGAGTAAATATACGTTTACTATGAACTTTGTTTGCCTTGTCATATGACCCCTTATTATCATTCAGTTGATGCCTACCAGACACCTAAAATGTAGATGAGTTTTTACCCTGGCTTTTTAAACCTGAAATGAAATCTATAAAAATAACATTACCTGATAACTATTAAAGATGTTCTTAGAACATCATCTCGTGGTTGAAAACCTATTTTAACTTTTAATTTTTCTCCTGTTTTTAACAGTGCTGCTAGAGTATCAGGATGTGGTGTTGGACCTAATAAATTCTCTACTGTTTTTCTATGATTTATCATTGGATTATTATCAGCTTTCTGTAAAACCAACAAATGAGCTTTATTTAGAATTAGTATTTAACACTATCATGTTCTTTAAAAGCTTTTTTTTCAATTTCCCTTTTTTTCAAAAATATTACCATTGGTCTATTATTGATCCATGACAATCACAACCTTGGTTAGTAGTCAAATAGTCAAATCATGGAAATTAAATGGAAGACCAATTACAAAATACATGAACATGATGATACAAAGAATATGATAGCTTTAAGTGGATCTATTACAGGGTATTGTTGGAGTAGAAAGATGTTTGCCTGATATTTTTTAATTCATGTTAAATGTTATTATTTATGATACTTGTATGACAATGCTATACATTCAAATTCAAGTTTTAAACATCCTTATAGAAAACTCTTTAAAGAGCAAATGAGAAATGAGAGGAAACTGTATTTTACAGAAAATTCTGAGGAAGGGATAAAATAGCTTCAACATTATAAGTATGTTAATATTATCAAAGACAGACATATTAATCACAGTACAGGTGAAAGAAAGAAAGCTTACTTACATTAATATGTTCTAGATCACGTAGAGTAAATGTATCTATATCATCTGTTTCAATATAGTCGGAGATATCTGTTGATAACCTGTTAAATAGAAAAAATAATCTAAAATGGTCCTTGAACCACCACCTAAATATCTACTAACATAAGACAATTAAGGAATGACCTGAACATTTTTTCAGTTTATCGATGTATAAACAGAGAAAACCTGTATTTCTATATATAAACCACTATATCAAGGGCAGTCACCTATCTGTGTCAAATCATACCAAAAATCTAATTTGTGCAAGATATTGTTGATTTAAACAAACACACATTATTTAATAAAATTCTGATGTAAACTGTAACTTCTATCACTAACAAATTTTGATGCGTTTTACTAAGTCATGGGCAATAACTCAAATTACATTGATCGAAAAATTGTCAAATTTAATCTTGACTAAGATCTCATCATTATAAATGATCATACCAAATTTCATTTAAATTGGATGAAAACTGTACTCTCTATTGTGTTCACAAACAAATTTTGACACGTTTTTCATAAGTCATTTTATATTTACATAATGTATAAATATGTTCATTTATTTAAAGATATATAAATACAATTTAAAATATTTGTAACAATATTCCTGATTCAATTCATAAGTAAAATGAATGTTTTCCCACTTGAGATCTCAAGAGTTTATAAGTTTTATGGTTTTGATGTTCATTACTTCCTTAATAAAGAGGATGCTCGTTATAAAAGGGATATAGTTATTTATATATTACACTGTCAGCATATAAATATACAGCTCAATTCAGCTCTTTTATAGCGCTTTCCAGAATCTTACCTATTTGTTAATAGATCTAGTATTGTATGTGGACTGGGATATAAGGATAAAGGTAAAACTTGTAACAGTTATTACAGACTTACCTATTTGTTAATAGATCTAGTATTGTATGTGGACTGGGATATAAGGATAAAGGTAAAACATGAAACAGTTATTACAGACTTACCTATTTGTTAATAAATCTAGTATTGTATGTGGACTGGGATATAATGATAAAGGTAAAACTTGTATAACTACAGGGTAATCTCCAGTATTTTCCACTATAACATCAGATATCTACAAAATATTTTTAACACTTATGTTATGTGAAGCTTTAAATATTTGCCACATAAAGTAAAACAGGAAACAAATTCAATTATTTTGGTAAAAATTTGTGTTTTGGTGATGACTGCCTTGATAAAGGTTGAGATTTCTAAACTATAAAAAGACCTAACAACAGCACTGTCTGAGGTATAAAGATCTATGTGGACTATTCCATTGACCAATGAGAACGCTCCAAATCATATAATTGACATATGATATATATATGACATATATATGTGACTTAAACTTAAAAATTATATAAATCATACTTACTGATATATTGCCTATTTGTGTTAAAGGAAATTTTATATGTGTTTTTCGTACTAAAGATGGCCAATGTAAATAGGCTTGAGCTGAGAATAAAAAACCTCGAACTTCATTTGTATCTAATTCTATTGTTACATTGGCTCTGAAATATATTCAATTATAATATCTATGGCTAAATTTGGTTCTATTGGGGTGTTTTTTTCTTTTGAAACAAGACATCAAATACATAGCTCTGCATGGACTACATTACTTTTATAAGATGTAGATCATGCAGGGTAGGGTAGGGATTTTATTATCTTCCTTAAGCAGCTTCCTTCAGTAATTGGAAGATAAAGAACTGAAAAGAATTGTATGTATAACAATCAGGCTTTTATTACGTGTTTTCAAAAAATTCTTATAAAATGACAATAGAACTTACATATTAAATTCTGAATTCTCTATTTTTTCCCATTTTTGTTGTAACCATGTAAAGAGATATTGGTCTGTATTTGCAACTTCTTTTTCTAGAGTTAAACCAACTAGCCACTGGTTTCCTCCTAAAATGACATTTCAAAATTATGAAATATAATCATGTTCTATAACACCCAGTTAGTTGCTTCTCAAACAGATATGTTTTATTAAATGACATGTGATAAACTGAAACTTTATGATCAAAGGGAAAAAAATCGCAATACAGTATATAAATAATTATTAATTCAGACATTATTGACCATGAATTTTATAGTTTAATTATTGTTAAGTGTTTAACAGAAATTAAAGAAAATAGTTACCAGGAGTAAAAGTTGGTAAACCAACATAACAATCTTCTAAACATTCTCTTTTACTATCGAAATATATCTTTCCCACCTTCAATAACATCATATATATCTATTATTTATTAATCATATATATATTTTATAATATCTTTATAATACAACATTCAAATTAACTTGTTCCTTCTGTTTGAACAAAATTCAGAGAATCATTCCTTTCAATGATATTCTCTATAAATAAATTAAATGAAGCTTTGTGTCCTCATCTTCAGCTCAAGATGGACAATGACAAAATCCTTGTTTTCCATCTATCCAAGGTGCAAAGACAGTAATACATATAACTTAGATTTACAGTCCTAGTAGACACTTATCAAAGCTGAAAAAGGCTGCAAATCTAAGGGTATCTAATCTGACCTATGCTGGGATCGAGCTCTAAACTTGTGATTCAAAGAAGCACCTTAATGAATAAAGACAGAAATAATGACCTACCACATTAGGTTCTCCAGGTTTCAGTAATACTACATTATCATTTTGTGGTATAAAATAAAATCTAGTATCTGCTGGATTAAATGTAACTTGTGTAACTTCCATATAATTTTTAAAAGTGCTGTTTATTTGTAAAACTTTAAATGGTGTTTTACCCTGAAATACAAACATAATAAACATCATCCTATATTACTCTACATAGTTATTTAGGATTGTATCAATTCCTAAATTCTTTCATTATTGTATACCATTTTTAATATTTGGGGATAATAGTTAGTATTCTTAAAAAAGCCTTTAAGTTCAAATATGAACTTGAGAGAAGTATTGAATCTAAAAAAAGCACACATAATAAAGTGAATCAAAGAAAATTTTATGTTATAATTTATTCTTACAGGATAGACTCTATCAAATATAAATTTTTCTGGAATGGCATAGAGACTACCTTCTGCTGTACGTAATGTCATAGGTATAAATAAATCCTGAAAGAGAGTTATAAAAATAAATAAATAACAAATAAAATAGAGAATTCTGGTAGAATGCAGGAAATAATTTGCTGGATTAGTTTTTCCTGCAATTCACTGAATTATTCATTATAACTGGGAAGTAATAAATTTGAAAATAGAAACATGAAATCATATAATTCATTACTCATATGTCACTTGTGCTATACAACTTACAAGGTCATTATATATTACTATTGAAAACAATTTCCCAAGTGGAGATAACATTAAGTTTTGTCATAAAGGTTTGAACTTACTTGAAATTGGGTGACAATCATAACTTCTGCTGCATACGCCCCTTCCTCGTAAGGTGCTATAACATCAACACTAAATACTGCGTAATGATATGGTTTGATTATTAACTGAAATATACATATAACATGATACCTAATTTATTATTTTGGTTAACTCTACCATTTTAAAAAATGTACCCTTGAAGAGACAAGTGGTTACAGTATGCTCACCTTCCTGATACATTTTCACTATATCAAGGGCAGTCACCTATCTGTGTCAAATCATACCAAAAATATAATTTGTGCAAGATATTGTTGATTTAATCAAACACAAAATTTAGCAAAATTCTGACATAAACTGTAACCTCTATTGCATTCACAAGCCAACAAATTTTGATACATTTTTACTAAGTCAATATCATTGATCAAAAATCATCAAATTCAAACTTGACTAAGATTTCACAATTATAAATGACCACACCAAATTTCATTTAAATCGGATGAAAACTGTATTCTCTATTATGTTCACAAGAAATGTTGACAGACAGACGGGGCGACGAGAATATACCAACACAATTCAAATTTTCAGTTGAATAAAAATGACCCCCCCGCCCCCATTTTGAAAAAATAATAATAACTAAAACTTACAGGGTCAGTGTCTATATCAGATTGATTATGTAATCTGGTTAGCGTTGTACCATTACCTTTTTCTATACCTAATATTCTTACTATGGTTTGATTCATATTAGAGGTGTATTCACCTAGTATCACCTATAATAATCAATAATTAATCAAATATCTGCTTATAGTAATATACTTATGTTACTTCATGTCATGCATCACAAAGCATAAGCAAAACCAAAATTGTGGCATCACCATTAGTGTAGGTGAAGGCAAGATTTTATTGGTTTAAGTTTGCAGTGTTTGTTCAGTAGGTATTCTCTTTTGTCAAGATATTTATCCAAAGTTTACTGATACGTCACAATTATTTCCTCACAAGTGAAGCCATTATTCACAAATCTATGAAGAAGTTTCCTTTCTTTCACATATTATCAGAAACTGAAACTAGCCCAAAAACGGAACAATATTGAAGAAGTGATTGAGAATAAGACTTACATTGACAGGATTATCATTTCTAACCGTAAATGTCATACTACGACTTTCACCCACTCCCATAGTACCAAAATCTAACTGACCCTTAAATTTCTCTGGTCTATGGTGTATAACCTGGAATAAGCAAAATCAAAAATATCATTCTAAAGGTCAAACGTCATATATGATACAATCAACAAGAATTACAAAGTGGTAACCATGTCTAACTTCATGTACATTAATAATTGACTTGTCTGATTGGCTAGGTACTAACATTCTCACATTCAATTTAATAAGCATGACTACTCTATTCTCTTCAATCTATCAGTTTTTTTCACTGTTGGTGTTGATTTAGCTGTATTTGCCAGTCAAGTCAAATAAAAGCTTAAAACTGCTCAGCCCATGAATTCCTACAATTCAAGGAGCTTGTTTTATGGACGCATACTTTCATCATGGACAAAATTTTAAGCTGAAACAATTGATAAATTTCAAAGAAACAAGAAAGCCATTGATAATACAAAATCTACTTACTTTAAATAAGCCATTATAAACTATTATAGGTATAGAAAACGTAGATGTATTGGTATGAAGTGTTAACATTGTAGTAAAATGTAACTGTGTAGCATTAGGGTGATACATTAAATCAAATGCTTTTAAAGTCTGCTGTGGTAAAATTATCATAGGACGAACAAAGTTTAAAATCTGAAAAAAGAAATCTATATATCATTTCTGATCGTGGAAGTTCTAACTGAATTATTTGAAAAAACAAACAAATTGACAATGGTTTCTAATTGTGTAAAGTGATATAGAGAGCTAAAATCAAACTCTATCAGATGGTAAAGCAAATATATAGACAACTAACTTCCCTTCAGATATACAAAAAAAATGAAAGCAATGGAGTTTATGAATAGGTTATACTTACAGTGAAATATGGAGCTACATTAGAAGATAAGCTGACATTATATATAACAAGTGAAAAGTTAAAAGTATTGGTAAAAGCTAAAGGCCTAGTTATATTCCGTAGAGCTTTAGCACTAAAAAAATATGTCATGTTAATATTATAGACCATAGACCTGAAATTATAGAGAAATTAAATTCAGTAATGTTAATGATACATGAATAAAGACATGAAATGATCATATGATATACATACAATGCTAGGTAGGAACACTGTATAATAGATATTGTTATTTTGTCACTTTACATAACAATTGATCTTGATCTATTCCTACAATTCAATTTTAAATAAGACAAGATAACCTGACACTGAACAAATAATTACGTACAATCACTATCCCTTTTCCCACTAACCATCATAAAAACAATATTGCACATTTTACAAAAATACAAATATAGATACAGCAAATCTCTGGAAATTATTTAAGACAATTTTAATGTATGAGTGCACAAATGAAAACCTGACTTTTTCTCAGTTAATTTACAAAAACACTTTGATCATAAAGAAATATAATATAATCTTACCCATGTAAAACATTGGCTTGGTATGGCAAGATTAATTTCTCTTGATTATTTTTAGAACGTATTATTATTTTACCAGACCATTGTCTGGGGTGTAATGCTTTTACAGCTGAAAGACAAAACTATATCTATGAGAAAAGGAGAACCTATACATGCAATTGACATGACATCAATTGCTTGGTTACATAGAACATTATTGGTCATGGTTCTGAATCTCAGTCGGTGTGTGAAAGTCTAATGTCCTTTAAAAAGTCACAGTTACTCATTTATTTACCTCCAAATGGATCAAATATCACACAAGGCATCTATAACAAATTGGTAGTAATAGAGAATGATATTATCAGTAATGTCATATTGATATCATTACTTCATATTGTGGTCTTAAAAATCATTGTTAAGTAAGAGTTATCTCCCATATTTTCCTTCTCAGTAAAACAGAGTTGTCTGCTCTTAAGGTAGTTGTTTGTCATGTGACAGGATATGTACTTTTGTGAGTTGAAGGCATGATGTAAGAGCTTAGAGATTGAATAAAGCATGGCTGAAACTTAGATTCTAGTTTTGATTATAAGAACAATCCAAATCCATCTAGGATGGAAACCCCAACAAAACTGTAACATTACCTTTATATGTGATATGAGCTATTGTTGTTATTTTCTGATTATTAGCTGGTAATTTACTTGGTCTAAAATCTATACTTATTGCATCATTTGGTGGTGATACTGTTATGCTCTAAAATAAAATTATATAACACATAAACTTACAAGATATACTTTCAGTTTCATTAACTAATATCAATCAGAACTTTTTTGACTAGTCCATTATCAATCTCATAAGTGAAAACAAGTCCAGGTTATGTTTTAATATAATTTGTAACCTTATATTACAAGTCAGTACAGTACAGTATCGGTGTGACACTACAAAGATCAAATTTCATAGAGCTGATGTCTATTTTCCATTACAAGAATTTTTATCTTTGTAACTGCATTTCATATACAATGGATTTAAAACTAGAAGTAGTAGTATAAATGTTGCGCTCTAAATGCAATCAATTTAATCTTTCGAAAAAATCTGAACTATAATCAAAATAACAAATAAACTTACACTGATATGTATTGGTTTTGTACCAGTATTTATTAAACCTATTTTCATGGATTTCGGCTCATCAAACGTTCGTAAAATACCAAAATCTATCATTTCAACAGGAGAATATAAACCTGGTTCTGAAAATAAAAGATGGCGGTTAGGAATAAGCAAAACATTCCATCATGGATGATCAATTTCACATCGAAGATACCTTATCTCTTGGAATAAAAAAAAAAAAATCATTCTTGAAAGTGATGTATTGACATATTTACTGATTTTCAAGGTATCTCTAGAAATATCTATATCAAAGATTGCATAGTAAAAAAATTACATTGCCAACAAAAAATGATATTTGAGTGTATTTCTCAACAGAGCCATTTTAGTCATTTCCCTCGAAAAGTAAATTGAGAACCATTTGGAGATATTCCAGGATCAATAAATATAATAAAACAGAATACCTGCTGATACTTCTACTTCTACTGGTAATATTAATAATTTATTTTCACTTTCTTTACTGGTTTTAATACGTATAAAAGCTGTATGATTATTTTCTACTCTAGCGATAAAATTAGCTCTCATTACCGACTTGGTTTCAAAGGGCTGGATTTCCTACAAAATTCATAATAAAACATTAATTAATGATTTTAAATCCAATTAACATTCAATATCTTGCAGCAGAGCAAATTGCACATTGAACGTGTGGGAAAGCTGAGTTTGTAACTAGTAGGATTGTCGTCTGCTAGGCCAGGTAGTAATCTTAAGCTTATTAACTTACCCATGCAGATTTACCAGCTTCTTTTTCACCAGTGGGTAATTCTAAATGTAAATCACCCTCACTAGAAAACATTTCTAATACCTACAAAATAAGAATCTAATAGTTAGTTTTCTTAGCTCATATTGGAAAAGAAATGCAAATGACATTAAATGGTATGGAGTTAATTGATTACAATATCAACTGCCAGCCTAAAAAGATCATTTAGCAATCAGCAATTACATGTTAATGATAGTAATGTTCAGAGAAGGCTTTTTAAAACTAATTAAACTAAAGATATTGAGAAAATATAACTTACTTGTAATTTAGTACTATATGGATTATGCATTTCTATCATAGGTGAAAAACTACAATTTACTGGCACCCGCGCACCTAAATAAGGTCTCAAGCGATATGGGTTTGGAACCCCCACCCCAAAAACCTGAAAGAGACAACACAATATCAAGTTAGTAGTTCTCATTAATGGATCATTTTCTACTGTTTTTTTCTGCATGTTGAAGGCAGATTTGAAAGTAAACTTAATTAAAGCTGTAGAAAGATGACTGATTCTACAGTAGGAAATGATAAGACATGATACTTGGAGATTAGAGATTCATAGAAAACATGATTACATACCTGATAATTTAAATATCCTAAGGATGTACGAATATAAAGTGTATTTTCTACATTGCCCACCTGACGAGCTAAAAACACAACATCAAATGTTGTATTGCCACCAGGGGGCACTGCCTGAAAAAGAGAGAATTTAAAATTTAACAGAATAGTTCACAGTATACCTTGATTCATGAAAGACAAAATAGAAGAAAAAAAAACAATAATATTTTAGGATGGATGACAACTTAAATGCTCTTAAAGAATCTGTCTGTCTGTCTGCTCGTAGTCAAATCTCCTGTTATTGATCTTTCATTCAACCTCAAAATATAATAGAAGGCTTCAGTTCAAGTTTTGATGTATGTACACTTGTTTAACCATAACCATGCAGAAATAAATAAAACTTCTTGACTTACCTTATCTTGAAAAAATGAGCAATGAAAATGAACAGTACTGCCCGATATTGATATTAAATGTAAAGTATTTTTAGTATCTGAATTTACAACTGTAACTTTTTCCATACGGGGCATCCCCACTGGTCTGAAATACACAAAAATAATTCATATAAAAGAATGGTTTCATATCAAAGTTTACACAATTATTTAAAACAGTTCTAGTAAGCTTTCCTAAAGTTATATATTCTAGATCTAAAGGCTCATACTGCTATTCGACGCAGACAACAAAAGCTATCTTGGCACAAGAAATTTTTAGACTTAGTGATTGTTGTTTATCACTTTCTGTTATTCTTGTGAGCTTGTATGCTTGTCAATATATTTATCTGTCTTAAATGTAGAAAAAGTAAGGATAGACGATAGGACAAAATCACTGAAAATTTGGTGCGTCAAAATCTACATGAAAACAGTGTTGTCAATAATGATCAAAACTAGGTGTTTGAGGCTAGAAGTCAGCCAATCACACTTCAGAAATCTAGTTCCAATGGTATCCTGTATTTAGCTCTATGCTTGTTGATCACCTACATCAATTTCCTTAGAGGTGGTTGAGACATCAACCTAAATAAATTTCTACACACTGTCACATTCATAGCATCCACATCATTATTACAGAATATTAACAACTTGATAAGAATTTCACACAATAGAGTCATTTTATACAATACAATTTGCTCCAGAAAATAAAATTAGCTTTTTTCAGACAAAAATGTGAGCAGATTCAAAATTAAAAGCATTGAGTACAGTAAATGTAACAGCAACATAAGTACAAATCAAATAAATCCATATATAAGACAGGGTTTTAACATGTTTCAGTTGAAATTCACAGTCAACTATAATCTACTATTGGTTATGTCTATAAACTAATAAAACTCTAATAAAGGATTACAACTAGAAATAGACAATATTATCAACCATCACGAAGACTCTAATCAGTATATATAGTTCATTAACCTCAGGGTGTGAATCTCATTTCAACCTAGATTTTGGACATAAAAAGCCACTTGGCCTGTGCTTATTTTAAACAAATAAAATAAGCGATCATTATAACGGAGAAGTGATAGAAAATATATATTCATAGCATACGTCCACTACCAGCTGTCAGAAATGATAACAAAATCCTTGGTGGCTTAATAATGAATTTTCAAATAATATTAAAAACATCTATAAGTCAAGGCAAAAACATGAACCAGTTCATCAAATAATTATCAAATTCAAACAATGTCTCATCGATGTACACACAAGGACAACAACTCTGAAACTGTTCATCTGATTATTACCAATTCATCCGATAATACCAATTTTGAACTTCATCCCACCAATACATACATACATACCAAGTTTCATCAAGATCAGATAAAACCTGAAGTAACTATTGTGCCTACAAGCCATATTTGACACGTTTTTAATAAGTCAAGGGCAATAACTCTGAAACCATTCATCTGAGTATTACCAATTTCGACCTTGACTGAGATCCCATTAAATATATGCATGCATACCAAGTTTCATCAAGATCAGATACAAACTGTAGTCTTTATCATGCCTACAAGGCAAATTTGACACGTTTTACCAAGTCAAGGGCAATAACTCTCAAACCGTTCCTCCGATTATTACCAATTTCGAACTTGACTGAAATCTCATCAATATATAGATGCATACAAAGTTTAATTTAGATTGGATAAAAACTGAAGATTCTATCATGTCTACAAGGCAAATTTGACACGTTTTTAATAAGTCAAGGGCAATAACTCTGAAACCATTCAACTGATTATTACCAATTTCAAACCTGACTGAGATCCCATCAATATATACATGCATACCAAGTTTCATCAAGATCAGATAAAAACTGTAGTCTCTATCGTGCCTACAAGCCAAATTTGACACGTTTTTATTAAGCCAAGGTCAATAACTCAGTCACCGTTCATTTGAGTATTATCAATTTCGAACTTGACCGAGGTCTCATGAATATATAGATGCATACCAAGTTTCATCAAAAACTGTAGCCTCTTTCGCGCCTACAAGGCGGACCGCCTGACAGGGGCGACGGCAATATACGTCCACATTTTCATGTGGTCGTATAAAAAACAAATATTAAACCATCATTTCAAACTCGATGACTCACCATTCTGGTCCAGTCTAAACAGGGCTGTGTAAACGTTACTGGCCAGCCGGGTTGAGTCCAAACCAAGCACGGTTCAATTCAAGCGGGCCAATTTTTATGGCAGTGTAAACACAGCTATTGTCGTCGTCAAAAAATCACTTTATAGATGTTTTTGTAAGTTATTGGTTATCAATGCACATCTCAAATGATTTTGTTTGAAAACAGTCACACCCTAAACCAACATACTAAATGAAAGAATATATGATGCAGTAGACAGGTCTACTAAACAATTTCCAGACATTGTATCATATCAACACATACATGACTAATTATGTTATTTGTTGAGCAATGTTCCTGTTTCATTAATAATCAGTAATTGTGTTGCAATAAATGTTGTTCAAAGGAGATGGCTTCATGAAACAGAAAGTATTACAAAAATTTTAAAATATTGTTATTTTAACTCTATGTACTTACTGTTGGTTAAAATCCAGAAGGGGAGGATCCAACCTAATCGTAGAGAAAAAATTATCATCTTGTTGGCTGCAATAGAAAGAAAACATAATTAGTTTGTTAAAAGAATAATTGTAGCTCATTCACTTATATGAACAGTTTATTGTATCAGCTTTGGTTAGCATTCCTTTTTTTCAATAATTCAAACAAAGTCAAGGGCAGTAATTCAGCAAACCCAAGATAAAACTAACGGGAACACATTTATCCAAAAACTTCACCACCATGAAAAACTATAGTTTTTTATCATTTTTGCAAGCTTATATTGACAATGTCATGAAATAACTTGGCTAGCCCTTGAAATATAGAATACACATACATTGTTATACCTATCTATAATATCATCAACATAATATACTTCTTTAATCTATTAGTTAATCAAAATTTCAGATAAGTTTATAGAACCCTCTTTGCAGCAAAAAATGAATGGACAAAAACTCATCTTTTATTGCATTTGTATGTGTTACCCCTATAAGAACAACCTGTTTAGTAGAAAAAGCGGTTAACATTCCAATATTAGAAGATGAGGCATAGTAGCAAAGTAAGAGAGATCACTGAGAAATTTAATAACCTTAATATTCACTTATGCATCTATGCAAATATGGATTGATATATATTCAAATTAAATGCAAAGATCTATCATATTTCAAATGATTGTATTACAATAAGAGCTCTACACTGAAAAGAAAAACCCTGTGCTACAAACTATTCAAAGAGGAAAAGATCATTAGTGGTTTATTGCATCTTTTCATTGTAAGTATTTAATGGATGACTGCTCAACTAATTCAGAACATGCTAACATACAATTTTAACTCTGAATCTTAAATGTATGCTTGTGAACTAAGAACTTAAAATTTCCAAGAAATGTAAGAAATCTGATACCAAAATAAGCATTTGTAAAGTTTTTTTGGGGAAGGTTTGTTCACATGGTTTAACAACACTGATTTTACAGGGAAATCTTTGGGCCAAAAGTATACAATGGTGACCCATCGGTATATAAGCTTATTGCTACAAGTTTATATGACCTATGGTGTTTAATCAACATCTCTAAAATAGCATGTCAAGCAAATATAAACTTTGATCTCTGAGTCTATCTAAAATCAACGCAGCACTAGTTTGTTCACACTCTTAGTCTAAATGAGACAGACTTAATACATATTTCAACGGAAAGTTATCAACGAATTTTTACATCTTTTTTCAAAACAAATTAAGTGAAATGAAGTTTAACATCCTATGTTTCAGCAGCTTTTTGGATAAGGGCAAATATCACTAGGTAGTGTGCAATGAAGAAGTTTGCGTGTACAACAGTATTTCAATATATAGCCAGGTCTGCTTATAAATTATAATGACAGATGATGTACATTAGTTACAATTAAAATACAATGCAGCAGCCTTGAGGCAAGATGATAACGCTTTGATAAATATACTGATATGAAATTCAAGTGTCAGTTTCTGTTGATCATATGCACAGATACATGTTTATGTTAAATATTATTATAAAGTTAAGGTCAAAGGTTAAACTTATATAACATGTTATAAATTTGTAATAACATTTCTTATTACATAGCATTAGCAAATATAAACCAAGTTGGTTGCCTAGGATAAATAACATTTGGAATCAATGGTCTATATATATACCAATATAATCATATCCAAATAAACAGTTCCTGCTCCAACCATCTTCACTATGTCAAGCTATTGCACACTCTGTCTTATACCTTGCCTGCAATAGTCACCTCATATTAAGGAAGTTTGTAAATGCAGCCATGAAATACAGCCCATCATAGCCAGCATTGTGTCAAAACCACATCCTATTCGCCATACTTCCTTGAGGCCGTGGTAACACAAGAGAGAAAAATTACTTTTTCATAGCTAAATATTGTCCAATCAAAATTTGCCCAACTGAATTGTTAGCAAATTTCAGCCAATCAAAACAAATAACTCTTTATGACGCTTGTTGTGAACATAAACAAAACGAAAGCAGGGTGCCATTACATATTTTGCTAAATATGAACCATATAGAATTGAGTAAGATTTTCGTTAAAAAATTGAAGCCGAGAGAAAATCAAACCTTACTTTGAAATATTTAGTTGGAAAGAATGTATTCTTATATCTTCAAACAGGCGGCGGCAAAGCGGTGTTGTTTTGTTCACATGACCTCATTTCTGTTCTACCGATCTGATTGGTCAGATTTAAATGCTACAAATCTCATTTCCACACCCCGAAATGAAGTGTAGTGGGCTCAGTTTAATACGGGTTAATAAGACCATGTCAAAACCCGATGTATAGCCAGTAGCATATTATAGAACTTATTTAAAGGGAAATTCAACTTTTTTCGCAGGTCGTAAATTTTTTTAGCCCAAATTTGTAAAAACTATATCAAAATCAAGAGAAATGTGCCCTTTTACATATTTGAAAATGTTAACTAAAAGATAGCTTGCCAGGCAGCGTAATATACGCCCACTGGCAGCTGTGATTTTGAAAAAAAATATTTAGCAGCACAGTAAAAATTACCAGTATGAAATATTCAACCTTCAGTCATACACTTCTTTTTAACTCTTTAGGGCGATACTGAATAATATTGAGTATGAATTATTGCCCTTATTCTTGAAAACGTGTTCAATTTTTAGCGTGTGAAAACTTTAGAAGGCAAATATTCGGGACTGAATAATAAAACCAAGTTTTGTCAAAATCCAGCAAGAATCATGCCTTTTAGTGTTTAAGATCTTCATAATGACATTGACAAACAAAATCAAAATCACGAGTTGCACAATATAGCTAATACCTAATAGAGTGAAACGTCAAATCAGACACGATATTTCGGTGAAAAATTATCCGATCATCACGAAAATTGATAGGGATCATCTTCATAATGACATTGACACACAAAATCAAAATCAAAAGAATCTGTAAAGAATTGTAACCTGTAGAGTGAGCACGAACCAAATGTGAATGGACGGACGGTACGGTACAATACAGTACAATAAGATGGGCGTATAAAAAATCCAGCCGTTAATATTTGAAAGCCAAAAATATTTAAAAATATTATGCAAGGTTTTAAAGTTTGTTATGCTTTTAAAGAAGCTGTTAGAAAACTACTGTACGGATTTGATTTGAGTAAAAAAATGCCTAATTGTAGAGAAATAATTATGTCACCTATGTATTATTAAGGTTTCAACTAATAATATCAAGCCAGTATGAAGCCACCTCCTCAGATACACCCCTATCATAGCCCTTGATTATATGTGAACCCAATTGTTTTCATTCTTTCTGTAGTGTGTTGCATTTATTTGCGTACAATCCAATCAATCTGATTTTATTGTTTCCTTTCAGACTAACACCTCAATATTCCTAAATATTAAATGGACAGAAAGCAACCCATCATTTAGCAACAAATACAAGTAGATGATGTTTTAAAACATGGCAATTCAAAACACAAACAATCAATTATGAAACCTAACAGTCTTCTAATTGAAGATGTACCACACCTTTCAACTACTCTCAATAATCAATTAAATAAACTCCTTTTTCTCTTTAATAACAGTTACTATAGAAAATATTTTATGCTTTATTGCCTTTGGTATTGATCAGTGAGTAACTTGGTTGCCAACTTGTTGTTAGAGGTTAGAAACAGGTAGTCTAGTCAGTCTCAACCTGACAAGAATATAGTAGGTGTAGGTGTATACAAACAAACACAATCACTTTTTCTTACATTCATGTGTTCAGTGAGGCAAGTAGAGAAGAGCTCTATTTCTAAATGATTGTTATGATAATTATATGTAAAAAGCATAAAAGAAAAGATATAAGCATTAACGTTGATGATCTATTTTAAAGGAAAATCCTCTTTGATTTTTTTCTCTACCCTTTATCTTAAAATTCATTTAAACAATAATGGCAATGCTTTGAAATATAACTAGAAATAGAGGAAAATTAGTTGCAAATTTAAGTAATTAGGGCTAATGAAATCTTCAAAATAACATTATATCACGTGAAAATCATTTATAAACCATCTTGGTGATACATATTTTGGGATACAAACTAAATCACACTTGGTGAACTTGACTCATTTTAACATCAGAAAGATCCTTGGAATACCACTTTCTAGCACTGACTGTACCAGAGCAGAGATAGAGTCAAATTCTCAGAGGCTACATATCTCTTTTATTACTTTTAATACTTTTTCTCTAAAATAGTTATTTACATAACACTTTGATTCCAGTATATTGATAACATGAAAATTGAGACACAACATCATTTAGGCATCTTGTTCATTTAACTGGACAGGAAATTTTTATCATGAAATTAATTGAATTTACCATCAATTTCAGCCTCTTCTGGAGAAATTAGCTCTGGTTTCATCTATCTTCAAGACCTAATGTATCAAATTGATGAGATAGAAAATGCTGACTATTGTTTTCAGCATCATATATCCTGATACCTATTACTGGTGTTAATCAATACTGCCTTTATTAATTATTACAACAAAAAGGTTACACATCAGAAATCACTGTTAGACCACCATCCTGTATTGAATACAACTCATCTCATGCTGCTGACACCTGTTTCCGAAACAAAATCCTCATCTGGATAGCTAGCTTTGGAAATGAGGATACACTTTCTAATAAAGGACTTTAACAGTAACAGTCAATATTCAGACCCTCAACAAGAACTCATCTCAGGCTGCTGACTTGTTTCTGATACAAAATCTTCATCTATCAATATTCAACGTCAATCATCAACAATAAGTTGTTGGAAATTAGATTCCACTATCTAATATTGAATAAAGTAAGCATACTTATTCAACAGAGCAAGAGGTCAATGAGCCTATTCAAGAGTTCAAAAGTTTCAGAAGTTTGAGACAAATAAGCGAATTCACTGAACATAAAAATATATCAAACAGTACAAAGATCTTCAACTCTTTATCTAATTGACTAGAACTCATCTCATGCTGGATCTGATTCACAATATTCTTATCTGGATAGCTGGTTTCAGTGAATGAACTTTGCATTAAGAAACTTCATGCATTTGAGTAACATAAGCCTTACTCTGAAGTAAGCTTGTTTTTTTAACGACATATCAAACCCTCAAAATTATACTGAGAAGTTAACCTTATACAAGAGTTAAACCTTTTAAAAACTTGATAAAATTCAACACAGTTTGATTCAGGAAACATTTTCAGAGAAAAAGTTAAAAAAGGTAATTCTTAATATTTACCGGTTTCCTTCTAGCATTATTTCAGATCGAGTAGGTATAACAAATAGATAGAGATACAAATCATGAAACAAGAATACAAACTTTTTAGATGATTTCTCAACGGTTCTAACAGAAAATGAGAAAAATAGAATTTACATAAAAACAATCAACTTAACTCACCTAAAATCTTGATTTGAATGACCAGGTTTTATCTGAAATAGAAAATAAAATAATTTATATCAAGAAACAAAAGAGCTGCAACCTGTTAGTTTGAATTAGTTGTAAAAAATCTTGAATTATCTTAGATTATTTGAAAACTTAAGTTGAAAAATATCATCACTTTTGTCAATAATTTCTGGATACCATGGAACTGCATTTATCCCTGTTACCGGATTGTCAAAATGTATATATACCTAAATGACGTTAATTTGCTTGTTGTAATGATTTGTTGTGGTATGGGTGGTCAACTGTACCCAAATACCCCCTGTTTAATTCCTTCAAAAAATATCTCAAACTAGGAATTTCTTATCCTATTTCTATAGTATGTCTTTTCTATATGGCCAAGTCTCAAGAAAAGACAACTAAAACACGGATAATTCTGGACACACATAGATTTGAAGGCTCAGATTTCGACAGTGAGCTGTGAACACTATTAATGATTGGTTTAGCTAAAAAATTCGCAAACAACAGTGGCTCAACCTCAGCAGTATATATATCTTAAATACAATTTGAAATATCTTTGAGAATATGTCTCGTAGAATGTAAATACATATTATAATATAGTCAGTATCAAAATTAACTTTGAAATAATGGTATATTGAAAGTTATAATATCATTCATATACTGTTCAATAAGAGAATTCATTATCTATCAATAACTAAACTAGTAAATAGGCTTTAGTTAAAAATAACTTGTACAATAGTAATTGAAATGACATGTATTCAAGAAAGATCTTGGCAATAATTGTTATGAAATGTTTTTTTCAAAATGAAAATAAATATAAATACATGGTGAAAGGAATTATTATGTATTTATTAGATGCAACAGAATCAATTTGCTCTTAAAATCAATTAACACAATTAACACAGTGCTAATGTCCTCTAATCTAATTATGCTTTGTTCAATGTACAATGTTGAAAGTTAAAGGACATTGCACGTATCATTTTAGGTATTGTGTCGGTGGTTTTATGTAATTCAACATTTGCATTATGAATTAGATGTACTAAGTAAAAGAGGTATTTTGTCTTTGAACATTGTACAGATGTATCGTGTCGTATGTATTAAAGATAAGTACATATCATCTAATTCTGAAAACGATTGACCTCCTTACAGAACTACCAGAATTGCACAAAATCGTCTAATCCGTTCGCCTTCAATTATACCTCATTCTAGAAATTTCAGAGGTACTAGACATTTCACACTCTAATTTACATCTTTTTCATATGTATCGTTTTGACTTTCAAACACAGATAATTCTGGACACACATGGATTTGAAGGCTCAAATTTCAATGGTGTACTGTGAACACTATTACTAATTAGCTTAGCTAAAACAAATTCCTGTTTCTGAGACTAAGGTATGACTAAGGTATGGCAAAGCTGGCCCTTTAAGTTTCAATTCTTAATGTTCTAAATAGATTTATACTCATTATTTAACTATTAATACAATAAGGGATTGATTATGATCATTCAGATCGTTAAATAGTGATAACCAACAATAAATATTATCATCATTTAATCATCAAGAGAAATTCTCTAAAAGGTATACGTTAAATAATCATTCTGCTATCAGTATTGATAGGTCAAGATTTTGCACATGGACTGGATTAACAGTTATATTTATATACACTATTCAAGCTGAACCAAATATTATCACACTATTCTTTCCTAATTATCATCATTCTAGGCACATTCAGATTTATTTTAGGGAGTAAAAATCATTACTCAACTATGATAAAGGCCTAAGGGTGACTTGTTGATCAAGCCATAGATGGAAGAAATTTTTCTATGAAAGACAGACACCATCAAGGACTTAACACCAAGTTTAATGAAAATCGATTGAAAAATAAAGGAATTAAAGCATTTTCAATATTGGAGATCACAGGGATTAACTGTTTAACTTTTGAAATTTCTCCCTTGATCTTCATATTGTGATCATCCACAAAGACTGTCTTATGGAGCTATAGCAGTTTCATTTCTATGGTACTGGATCATAATGGTTTACACAGGGTTCAGAATCAGCTATTGTCCATAACTGCAGTCCTCATTTCATCATCATATTGTATCACAAGTATTACCAAACATCATGCATGATTCTAAGTACCAGTAGTCATGATAAACAAGATTTTAAACAACACCACCATGATAAAAATAGATGTTCTTCCTATGTAACAATGATTGATAATTTTTAAATAATGGAACTGATGAAAAATGAGATAATTTGATCTAAATCAATACTAAGTGTCAGATTGATATCATTTTGTTCTGTAAATAACAGTGGTTAAAAGAGATGAAATTAGAAGTTAAAACTAGTGAAGTAAGTAAAGTGACCGTTTTAACATGGAATAATTAAGACTTGGAGGGTAATGTAGAGGATATTGATTGAAATCTTTCTATATATTGATTTCAACAGTCAGTTCATCACCATAATATTACTCTCTCTATATCTTATATTATTTATATTCACTGATTCACTTATTTATTACCATACCATCTTTAACCATCTTAGCCTAACTACTACATGCTTAGAAATATCAACATATTAACCAACACTATCTTATCCCTATCATCAAAAACTAACAACTGAATTATCAACCTAGCTTAGCTTAGATATCCTGTAGGATAACAACTTGACATAGCTTATTTTTATAACTGATAACTGAATAATCCAATATTTCACCTTGCCTAGCTAAGCTTATTTTTACTGTAGAATTATTAACAACATAGTTTAGCTTGCCTTTATCACTGAATAATCCATTTATCTTAACCTAGCTTAAATTATTAGTCTTATAGATCACTTTTTAACATGACAGTTTAGTTCCTGCCTTTATCACCAATTTATCCAAATTTTACTTTATCTACCTTTGCTTATCTTTGTTGTAGAATTATTAACATCATGGCTTAGCTTACCTTTATTACTGAATAATCCATTTATCTTAACCTAGATAAGCTTATTTTTATTGTAGATTTATTAAGGCCCATAACACTGGAAAGAAATTCTTACTGCGCTGCTACTGCAATGGAAAATTGGCCATTGTCGCCACTATTCTCTAATATGGTGAGTAAGATTTCATTAAAATAGGTGATCTTATTTGATAAAAGAAAGTTATCAGAAATAATTACCAACGTCTACAAAGTATAAGTTTTAGTACCAAATGTATTCATTGGACAAAAAAGGATAATTATAGAAGTAACCTTACATAAAGCTCAATTCATTTTAATCATTTTAACAAGTCTTCATTTTTATGATTATTTAAAAGAAATTCTTTGATAAATGGGGTGAGGTAGAGATAATTGTAAATGTTATTTTGGTAACAGACGTAATTCTCAGGATACTATAACAATTAAAAAGTTCTGTAATTGGACAAAAAAATTTTTTATTTGAATAGGTAAGCTTACCCTAGATTCATTTAAAGGGACAGTTTCAACATCTTTTTGACCAATTGTACCCAAGTTGTATCTAAGTCTTAGTGTCAGAAACAGGAATGTTTACAGCTCTCAGTCGAAATTTGAGCCTTCAAATCCGTGTGTGTCCAGAATTATGTGTTTGAAAAATAAAATAATGACTCATCTTTTCTTGGGACTGTTACTTTCTATTTCTATATTACCGTATATCTTTTCTATATACAGTCTTGTTATTTCAACTTTCGAATGCCAATAATTCTGGACAATGTCATGCACGTGGAGGCTCAAATTAAGCTAAATAATACCTGTTTCTGAGACAAGGGTACGATTGGTCAAACTTATAACAAACCTGTCCCTTTAACTTATTTTCATCAGTAAGTTTATGCCATTTATGTACAATTGATGTTGAGTTTTTGAAACAGTGTTTACTCTGGCACAGAATTGCTGATTTAAATATAACTAAATTGATTTACTAATGAATGCAAAACTATCTTTGTTGACAAGAATTCTTTGAAAATATTTCACAACCTGCTGAAACAAGTAGGCCTACATCTAATTTTATTGCTTAAGAATATGCATATATGACCTTGCAATATTCAAGGAAAAGGAGTCCAGCTTTGTTAAGGAATGCCATAGTATTACATTATAAAAAAAAGGAGCAACCATTTTTAGAACCTCTCTAAAAGTATTGATCTATCCTGAATTATTTCAGTACCCTTTACAGCTGGGTTGACTTGAATATTGAGGAAAAGTTAGTTGAATATTGAGGAAAAGTTAGTTGAATATTGAGGAAAAGTTAGTTGAATATTGAGGAAAAGTTAGTTGAATATTGAGGAAAAGTTAGTTGAATATTGAGGAAAAGTTAGTTGAATATTGAGGAAAAGTAACTTGAATATTGAGGAAAAGTGACTTGAATATTGAGGAAAAGTTAGTTGAATATTGAGGAAAAGTGACTTGAATATTGAGGAAAAGTTACATGAATATTGAGGAAAAGTAACTTGAATATTGAGGAAAAGTGACTTTCACATGCTGACTGATTAACAATGACAACCACTTCAAATTCTAATGCTCTAACTGACTGTGCTTCAATCCTCTATAAAGAAAAGGATAGTATAACTTAGGTATTGTATTGCATTCAAAGTTACTCGAGTATTTTTAATTGTTGACTATATATATGCTGAATAAATTGAAACATAAAATGTCATACATTATACAGTAATCATTTTCTTACTAACTACTAATACATATCTAGCCAATAAACCTTATTCTACAAATGAAACAATTCAGTTTTCTTAAATAAATGGGATATAATAGTTTAAACCTTTGATAATTCAGCTGATCATAAAACTCAATTTCAGCCATCACTTTTTAGAATCAAAATCTGACTGCCCGTTCCTACAAAATTATCAGAATCTTACCATGACAGCTTAGTTAGTCATCACTTCTAGATGACATAATTAAAAGTCTTGTGAACAGAGTTATTATTTATAGCATGATGTGAATTGATCTTGACCAGTTGTTTAAAATGAAAGAGAATGAGTTGAAACTAAATTGGTGATTTGCAGGAGAACCTGACATCAGTTTTTAATTCTGAGAAGTGCTGTAGATATGGTTAATAGAAATGGACCTCTATCAGATGGTTATGAAAGTATTTAGACAATTATTTATCCCCTTAAGTTCCATACATCAGCTGATGAATGCATTCTAACTTAATCATAATAAAATTGGTATTTTCCTGATTAATAATACCTAATACAGAATGAAGACAGTGTTCAGATATACAGAGAGATATCATCTGAATTTTGATGTTATGACGTGTGTTTTTCTCTGAAGATAACTCCACAAATTGCCATTTATGAACTGATGAAACTTTTATGCATCTTCTGTACTGGTTCATTTAATATCAAATCAATCAAATGCTCAGTTTAATAAAAGATTTTCTTACTATGTGTGTAGAATTCAGAGATATTCCTTGTTAAACATTGATATGTATTGTATTTTAACATATTTTTAATTGGTTAGGACAAACTAAGTCAACATATGCTATTCAGCCAAAATTCCACAGAAATAGGATTTGAAAGAATCTTGTCTGATCATATTCAATAAGTAAACTGCAGAAAAAAAGCACATTGCCTCAGATGTGAATCTTATTCAACACATCTATCTGGGCAAAAGACATTATAAAATTCCAATTGATGATTCTAAGTCAACCAGGTTTTTCTCTATTTCTTTTAGGTCTATCAATAGAGTAATTGAATTAATACTTACTTCTAAAGGAATACCATTACTATAATCACCTACTATGTATGTTAAATGTTTATCTGTTTGTATGAATGCTGAAAAAAAGAAAGGAAATAAAAAAGAATATATCAAATTCAATTGCAATTCCAGAAACATTCAGGATTTGTGCAATACACTGTAAATTTAATAAACAATGGGCTAGAAATATAAATATATTGTTTTTTGAACAATAATGGGTTAAAAATAGCTAAATAATTAGGCAGCAATATCCACAATTTTTCTGGATGGATTTTTGGTACCCCCGTACCCAGAAACAATTTGAAAAGATTTTTTTACCTACTAACTTGAAAATAAAAAATACAAAATTGTTCAAATCATTGCAGACTATTACTATCCATAAGCTAATGCTCAGCTCAAACAAAATCCTTAAATTAAGACATCTACTGCTTCAAAATGTATACAAACAAAAGCAGTCGACTTAGTTCTTAGGCCTCCTGTTTTAAACCACACACACTTGTAAATCAGTTGAAGGGACCATGGTTTGCTCTTAATATGAAAATAGTTTCTTATACATGTATATGTACAAACTTCAATCAAAGAGAGATTTGAGAATTATAAAACATATTTTAGAGTCGGCTGACTGTTAGATAGAAATATAGCCATCATCATCGATCAATAATCAAATCAGACCAAAGATAAGTTTAACATTTCATTTGGAGGATAAGCTTAAATATATCAGTATTATTTTCCAAAAATAATAACTTTTAAGGCCATGGCTAAGAAGATTTTATTCTTTTCATAACAACATTTTCCTACAGCATGATTTTCATTTACATAGCAAACTTATATAGTGGAGTCTTTTTTTAGGAACAAAATACCATTTGTCCCACAGGCATGAGGTATGCTTAGTATTTGTGAGGACGTGTATTTTTTGATAATTTTTTATTTTTTTTAACAAATAAATTAACCTGAATGACACCAATAGCAGCTTTAATCAAATTTGTGTAGAAATTTGTGGTTGTATACTGACAGGAAGAGATAAATAAAATTGCCAAATATTAGAGGCATACAGTTCCGGGATAATATCATCATATCTTATTTTATTAAATATGTCATTTTTATCTCTGTGATCTTAGTATTAGTATGTTCTTTCATATAGACAGAAGTCTGACCTCAGCTCAGTTAATAGTCCGATTTTATCATATATCAGTTAATAATGCTGACATTTTTTAACCATTCTTTCAAGGGTTCAATACACAAGAAAAATCTGCATTCAATGATAAGCTTAAAAGGTTTTGTTTTTTTGAATTATTTTTTACCCTGGTCAAGTAACACAATCTATTGTTTCTTATTGTTCATTATATAGCTTTATATAAAATCTATTAATCTTCTACAATTGTTCAAGTTTACTTTATTGATCTTGTGTAAACATGAATAATATCATAAGAATTGAAAGTCTTAATTGTGAATTATTGATTTTATAGTAAGGTTCCTGTCCTTAGTGAGTAAATAGTTGACATTCTTATCTCTTTCAAGTCTTTTACATGACTATTTATTGTACATTCATTTTCTAGACATGGTGCTATATACTAATTGTAGACAAATAATTCAGATCACAATAATGATTTTTTTATTTCTCTCATTTCAAACCTGATTTTGTAAAATCAAAAGAACAAAATATTTGAAAAGTTTATATTCTAGGATGCACTATTTAAATCCAAAGGTCATACATATTTTTTGGACCACCAAATGACAATCATAATTTGGCTTCAAGCCATACCATGATACCCAGCAATAATATTATGGCTTATTGTCATATAGTAACTGGTTTGGCAAAAATTACAAACCAACACCATCAAATATAAGAAACATCTGAAATATATTTAAATCTATATTCAGTATTGAGATCTGATAGTCACAACATTTATTTATGTTATTCAAATTCCTTGACATGGGGGAGAAATTGGCTGAAACTTTTTTACATGAAGAATGGTTGATAAATTTATCATGATGTGAAACCTATTTGAATAAAAAGTAATAGCATCCGCTGCAAAACCAGGGCTAATTCCCAATTTTTTCAGGTCAAAGAAATTGTTTTATCTTAAAATTTGCAAGAAAGACTTATAGCAAATTAAGAATCCTTTTGTCTGGATCAGATGAAAAGGCTAGAATAATCAAGACTCGACCCAAATTCAATTGCCTTTTAGATTTCATTCATTGTTTAAAGCCTAAAGGACCAAAAATATGACCAATATTGCATTCTGTAGGGTAGGCCTTAAACCAAATTTCAAAATGGGCTTAATTTTATTTCAAGAACATTTTTATTGTCATTCAGAGATTATCAATATCGTTAATGTTTTGAAGCTGATATTCTAATTAAAATAAAAATAATTGATTAAATTTGATTTATCTATGGCCGTATGAGGTCAAAGACAATAATCAGTATGAAACTTGTCTAGTTACTAGTAGATATACAATAATAGACATTATTTTGATTAGACGATGTTATAAAAAATGACAAGCTATCTTTCTACTAATTCAGAAAAAGTTAGTTTATATTATTTCCTACTTAATTCATCACTTTCAAACAAAAGATAATGTTTATTGTTGGTAATAAAGCCCTGAACAACAATTCATTTACCAAATTACAATTTGACCTACACTAGCTACGAAACTGGGCCAACATAATAATCATACGATAGCATTAACAACAACCAACACTAATATTTCCTTTACCAATGAGGAAGTTATCCCCACTGACCCAGACCAAACATAAAAATGATGCAAATGAATAATTCAATTTGAAGCAGATATACTGCTATCAAAATCTGGAACTGTCAAGGAATTGGCATAGATTCCGAGATGTGACAGTAGAATTAGTCAAGCGATACATTTTTTTCTGATTTGTAAACATAGACAAGACCTGTTTTTCTCTGATAAATTTGGGATATTCCCCGTTCAGTGAGGGGAATTAAACAAATTTCCTACCTTGACTGTGACTGTCTACTCCATGAACATTTAATGTATTTGGGTGTAATGTTTGAAAAACTATAAGAACACGTAAAAAATCTATCACTTTGTCTTTCGTGTGAATCTCTGACACCCGCGCCATGCTTGCTTTCTCACTGCCTGTCAATATGACAATATAAAGTATACAGCTTTAGTCATTAATATAGCTGAATTAAAATTATAAAAAATTGATTCTCGACGATGGTACCTCTTATTTTAGTGCAAAATTACAAATACAATTCAAATATTAGCAGACGAGCCTAAAATAATAAATACGAAACTTTGTGGTAATTTAGTGTTTAGCTCTGTATGTTAATATGTGAATGGTAATGTAACAAATAATTTGATTGGTTGTTTCTCTAGGCAACATTATTTTACTCACTTCCTACTTTGGTATGTCGTGTATTATTTCCATTTGTAAATTTATCCAAATCATCATAAACTTGATGTAGTCAACTGAAATTGAATCGATAATAATTTTTCTTAGAACCTACTGTATTTCATTTGTATTATTGTAAAAAACCCATTTTTGGGGATTTTTTGGAAAATATGTTATCAATGAATGACAGGTGCTTCTGGAATCTTTGGATCTTTGACTCTGAGTTTGTGATGATACTAGGCCTATTCTATGACTATTGTCACTGCATTGAATAGGCTACTGTTACTCATTACTGTCACTGAGGTTGTTTGTTTTAATTTAGATCAATGCATCTAGTCTATTAAAAGTATTTACAGCTTATTAATTGGCATTATATTATAGTATATACTGATAAATTCTATTTGGCTTATCCTATTTTATCTTTTTGACTAGCCTTTTAGGCCTAGTTGTAGTAATAAATTCATGGCATAGTAAACAAATATTAATGGCAATTGGCATATTTGTTTATTGATTTCTTCAGCCTTTCTTATTCTTATTAACTGGCTTAAATTAATTGAGTTGAAGCAAAAAAGGGGATAGGATAATCACGGTATGCTTAATGGTATTGACCACTTTCATTATTATCAACTGTCTTTAAGAATATTTCATTGGTCACCTACTATCTGTCAGTGGTGTAACCTATATTCATGCATATAAGGAACAACAAATTTTGAACAAAAATTAAAAAAAGAAAATTTTTTTTTTATATGATTTAGATGTTTCTTCAGATATTCTATGAAATATTTAAAATTAGTTTGTTTTAATTTTCTCTATATATATATGAATCCCTCACCTTTCTTAATATTTATCTTTAATATCAATTCATTATAACTAATGACAATTCTTTCAAAGAACAAGAAATTGTGACTGTCAAAGTAAGATAAGTAAAACGTAAAAGTAATTTATTGCTAAAATTCATTAGAATTTTTCTGCTGACATGGAATCCACGTCTGGTTAACGCGACTTTGTTCTTTGGAATATATTCTAGCAGACGCCACTTGGAATTCCGATTACATAAGGGGATTATAAGGAAGTTTGGCCGATAAAAAATTGTGAAATTTGGTAATACTTGAAAACCGCCATTTTGTATACCGGTATGTAAAGAAATAGATAATGAATTTAGCATTGCTTTGAAACAATAGGAAAATTTCTACAGTTGACGTTGTAGAGATAACCCATGTTTATCAAAAAACACAAATGCAGAGGTCATACAAGGTTGCATATATATGTAAATTATTTATCATTTCAAGAGATACACGATATTAGGTTGGCACGAAATTAGGTTACTTGACTGTATAATGTATAAGCTTAAGCTTATTCTTTGTTATTCTTGATAGGTGTTTTTTTTTAGGTTGAAATAGAGATACTATCAACTTAACTTGTGATGTGGAGTGAATTATGGGCAAATCTATGGAGTTCAATATTTTTTACGTTATTTAGACCGATGTTAAAGTGGATTTTGAGACTGGTTACAGGCAAATGTGAACTGTTAAGAATAACATATGAAGAGAATGCTGGCTCACAAAGAACAAAACGAATTGGTAAGAGGAGTCAAATAATCCTTCTGTTGGAAATTGTTTTCCTTTCAAAATTTTAGAGTCCGGTATGACCCTAGTAATAGAATAAAATGACATCTGTTAAACAACGATTGAAGGAAATATATGCTAAATGCAGCTAATTCTTGCAAGTAATACAATTAATAATTATGCTATGTAACACAAGAATATTTAAGTGTAGTATCAATTTGAAATAAAATAAAACATCCATCTGTTAATTATCCCTGTTCTAAAAGTACACTGGTATTCAGAATCTTCTTAGATAAGCAAATCATGTACAATCTTTAATTTACAAAAAAAAGTTACACCATATATCTAAAATACCTACAACAGTACATCTGCATAATGTTTAGTAAGAATAATAAAGATTTAAAAATATTCCATGAGGCATTTTGATATCCCTTTATGATGAGAATAAGTTTAAAAGTAACTAAAGGGAAGTAACATGTGATATTATTTGTTTCAGAAAAATCCTTGAAATTGTCAAAGAATCCATTTCTGAAGTGTTTGGTGGTATCGTATGATGACATTGAAGTAGATGAAGCAACAAATGAAGTATTGAAAATTAAAGATATCATAATAGAAGTTCACTCACAGTAAGTTGTTTTTGTCTGTGTTGTTATAAGAAATATTATTGGTGATATCTATGTGAAATATCCACAAAAACTGGCATTGTAAATCAAAAAGAAATTACAAACCTATCAGGCTGTTATCATAGAAACCACACAACCTATCAAAATGTGCAATGTGAAACCCTTACTCCTATTTTATTCTTGAGTTCGTCTCATTGTGTACCAATTGACTAATCAAAAATTTACTTTAGAGTCATTAGTTTGCCCTTTTTGATATCTTTAGAAGAGTTACCAAATATGACTACATGGGAGTATGTTAATATATCTGGTTAGAAAATGATGTGACATAATGACTTGTCATTACCTTTGGACATGTTTAAGACAATGTGCATTCAGGCATGATAAGGAAACATACATAAAGAAATCTTTTATTTTAAATCTTAAAATTAAAACAAATGGTATTTATTTTAGGTTTTCAAGATGCTTTCAAAATTGTTTAAATCAAATTATAAGCTATAAAAGACTGCTTGATGAAGTTGAAAGTATAAGAACCACTCCATATGACAGTAAAAATCAAGAACATGAAGAAAAACTTCTCAAGGTTAGTAATAATTTAACTAGAACTTATAATCTAAAATTGATCTTTTGTTTGTTTATTTGTTCAGATAAATTCCTTTTTTCCCATCCTCAAGATTTATTTTATATTCCTACAATTGGGGAATTTCCATGATTTGATGTGAATTTGGCAAAGATCCAAAAAAGGACAAACTTTGTAAGACTATATGCAGTGTCTACAAATTGATCAGGATTGTGCAATTCAGCTAATTTCAATATTTGAAAAGTTAAAATGTTAATTTACATCTATTTTCTAGTTGTGGACAATTTTGATGCCAGACACTAAATTAAAAAGCAGAATAAGTAAACAATGGACTGATATTGGTTTTCAAGGTGAAGATCCAAGAACAGATTTCCGTGGAATGGGAATACTTGGTTTAAATCAGTTGTTGTAAGTCAGAAAAAAAAGATTTTTTTACGCCCACATGAAATGGGTAGCGTATATTGTCGTCAACCATGTCCGTCCGTCCACAATTGCTCGTAAACACTCTAGAGGGCACAATTCTTGACTGATTTTGATGAAACTTAGTATGATTGTTTGTAATCACCCAAGGAAGAACCTTATTGAAAATAAGACAAATCGAAATACAATTAGTGAGTTATTCCCCTTGTTCTTGAAATGCCCATAAACACTGTAGAAGGTTCAATTCTTGAAGGATTTTGATGAGTGTTTGCTATCACCCAAGGATGAACACTATTGGAAATCAGAAAAATTGAAAAATATTCAGTATGGGTTACTGCCCTTGTCTTGATGGATTTTGACAAAGTTTGGTGTGAGTGTTTGTTATCAATCGAAAATCACAAGAACTGAAAAATATTTAGTTTCAGCTATTGCCTTTGTTCTTGTAAACGCTTTCAATTTTTAGCTCGTAAACAATAAAAGGCACGATTCTTTCTGGATTTTGACAAAACTTGGTAATATTCAGTATCACCCCAAAAAGTGTGTGACTGAAGGTTGAATATTCCACACTGCTAATTGTTACTATACAATATTCAATATTTTTTGTGGTAAAAAAAATATAAGTAAAGTTATTATTATTTTGTAGATATTTTGGTGAAAAATATACAACAGAAGCTCGTCATGTTTTATCTCAATCACATCATCCTCAATATGGGTATGTTTTATATATTGATAATTATCTGACTGGTTTGGACACAGAGCATTGTCAGGCTTCTCAAAATCCATAATATTCTTGCATTGATCTTTTTGTTACAATTAGACACAATTAAGTTAATTGCACTTTTCCAGTTTTCATTAGATAATCTCCAAAATTATGTTTTATTAATTATGATAAAATGAAAGCTTCTAGATTTACTACCCACATGCATAGAGATATTTGTTGGTCATGAACCCCTAAAATACTATCATCTTAAACAATTGTCTGTTTTTTAGATATTCCTGTGCTATAGTTGGTATTAATCTTACTAGTATGATATATAATCAGTTAAAATCTAGAAAATTACGAACTCATTTTTACAATAAACCTAGTTCAGCCTGTATAGATGATTTCCATGAAATTTATTGTAAGTATAGATGAAGTGTCCAATTACTGGGGTTTGTGCATCAAATTTTGTTCATTTTATTTCATAAATAATATGATAAAATATGATATAGTACTGAGTTTATTTCTTTTTATATGCCTACATGAAATTGGGGGTGTATATTGGCATCACCCATGTCAGTTGGTCCATCCACAATTGCTTGTTACCACTTTAGAAGGCACAATTCTTGATTGATTTTGACAAAACTTGGTGAAATTGTTTATTTTCACCCATGGATGAAACCTATTAAAAAATTAAAAAACCATTTATATGAGTTATTAGCTCGTGAACACTGAAAGGCACGATTCTTGCTGGATGTTGACAAAACTTGAAAAAAGTGTTCAGTATCCCCCCAAAATATTTAAGACAGTGTTTGACTTTGAATCTTGAATATTTTATACTTGTGATTGTTAATGTACTGCCAAATAGCTTTATTCAAATGAACCAAAGCTGCCAGGGGACGTATATTAGCTTGCCTGGCAAGCTATCTTTTATTTTTGTATAAACCCAAAGACAAACCTATCATACGATTACTTCAATATGTTTCAGACTAAACGAGTATTAATTTTCTTTCAGGTTATTTATTTCAAGAGTTTAATAAATTTTGGTTTAATGAAAAACCTAAAGACATTATGGAGTTTAGTAGATTAAGAGACAAGTTTAATAGGAAAATTTTAAATCAATTAAAAAACCCACAGACTGTTTTACAAAATGTTACAAGTAATGGAGGCTAGTCAAAAACTAGTTGCTAGGAAACAAGAAGAAGCTGATTACAATTAAGACTATTTTAACTTTTAAATTTGTATAATATGTTCTCCAGTGATTTGTGATTTAAAGTACACACAGGGAGTCTGTAATATGAAATCAAGCTAATCCTTACCAATCATGGAATAATATTCTGCTAAATGATTACAACCTAACTTCACACTAACTGATACTACTTATGACATTCACTAAATATTATTAAGCAATAATTTGTGTCCTATACTTGATGTCCGACAGAGGTTAATTGCAGTCAGACATTTTGGCAGGACAGTCGGTCATGTCTGGTATATATGGGCAAATCATGATCCGTGGTCCGATTTATTTTGATTTATGTAGATAGACTGAAAGGGTAAAATAGTTAGATTAACATCAGTTGTTATTTTTGCTCAGTATTGAATGATATTGTTTTTGAATGCTAGTTTATTGTTTTGGATATATATTAAACAAAATATTTGTATATACTATGGTCTTGGAATCACACTCAACTTGTCACCCATAATCTGACAAAATTGTTGCTCTATGTTATTAAATATTAACAGTGGTGGCTCAGTGAGTTAGACGCTTGCTCGCTAACCTGAAGGTCCAGGGTTCAATCCCCGCATAGGTCGAGATAATACCTTCGGATTTTTCAACCCAGTTTCCCCCTGTCAGTGATGCAGGTACGAGGGGCTGTCATGGAAAAGCCTCTAGTCATTCGGATGGGACAAGGCTGTGCACGTTAAAGATCCCTCGACAGTTGGAAATCGAAAAAGAGCAGGCTAATGCCGCTGTCCTGGCAAAATTTCCCTCATCGCACCCTGCATGGCATTACCCGTCTTCATTAGCCCACATGGTGCAGAAAAGTAGGACGTAAAACTCCATTCATTTCATTTCATTTGTTCAATAAAACATTGATGTCCCAAATTCTGGGAAATTCTTCGTTAAACATTTTGCTAGAATTGTAAGCCTTTGACACTATTTGTCCAAAATTTTGCAGAATATTGTTGAAAATAAGTCCAGCGAGTCATGGAAGGTATTAACTTTCAGAAGAAACTGTCCCAAACATTAAGAGTTACATTTTGATAAGATTCGACAAATTATTTTCCAACGTCCCTAAATGTGGATCATTTTCATGTATGATATGTTGTATGGAAGTGTTATTATTGTTACTTATTAAACATATTTCAATGCTTTCAAAGCTATTCTTAGTCAAAATAAAACTCAGTAAATTATGATGCAAAAGATAATTCAATTTAGAAACTGCAATGGCCAAGGAAAAGTATAGTATCTAAACAAGCTTACATTTATCTTATAAAATTTCTTATGTACTTTGATCAACCCCTTACATGTTGTTATATAAACTTTATGCTTATGTAATGAAATGACACTGGTATCAAATCTTAATAATTCAACTCTTTACCTTAGATCCTCTACATATAACTGAATAAACTATACATCCAGCTGAAGCATTTATATAAAAAAATAAGTTGTTTTGTCTAAAGAGCAAGCATGGTAGTATTTTTCTGTGGAAAAGAATGACATTTGTAGCCCACTTTCGAGTTTAATAACCCGATTTTATATATTAGATCCCATTAGAATTGGTCACATTGGCCATAATACTAAAGTCATGGCATTTGGATTCTTCTGGTATCATTTATCATCTCACATTTCATCTTCCTTAGAGCTATCGTTATACAGGATCTAAGAACAATATTTCAGCTTTCTCAATTGAAAACCATCAGCAACCTGTCTATATACAATAATAGCCAAGATATCTTAATAACAGTGCCTAAAATGACAGAAGGCCTCCGCTTATGCCGTATATGGGGTTTACTTTTATCAATTCGATGGTTTAATGGAGTGAAAAATTTTAAATACTCATTGTTTTTAAAAATCTTTCCACCAATCAACATCCTTGAAACAATAAGCAAATTATCTACTGATGATAATGGCAAAATTGACTCCAGGAAGATATTATGTGATCATCTGACATCTAGTCACTATTTCATCTACTGGAAGTGTCGGAAGATCATTGACACCATAAATTGTTTCAAATCATGATAATCGCGACTGAATAGAATCTTCCTGTCTTGACAAGAGAGTCTACTATTTTGACATGGTATTGTCACGTGACAAATAGATCATGTGATTTTAGTTTAGTATGTAAGTAATCACAGTTTGTTTTTTCAAAACCTTCGTTTTTCTTTATGAAATTTTGGTTTAACAATATGATAGAGTGAGATGACATGAACGTGAATTAATGCTAGTGAATTTCTTCTTCTGGAATTGAGCAAAGTTTCTTGTTTAGTTTTGGTTAACATGTAGAAATGCAAAAAAAGGAACACTTATTAGGATACATTGTCATTGTTTTAGTTTATAATCGAATATTCAATCTAGATATTGATTGGCTAGTGATACAAACTACCTTTCTTTAGATTTTGTTGGATTGATGGAATATTTAGATATAGCCTAATAATTTACAGCTGGTGCTACTAATATATTAATTATTGATCAAGCTTTTCTTATGATTAAACAGAATAATATTTGTTATTACCATATCTATCATACATCTAATCCAGGGCCAGTGGAATGTGTTTCTTTGGTCTCTAGCTTTGAGCATTATTTGTATAAGCTAAATATGCAGGGGCCTCTAGTTTTATTAAAATCTTGCCTTGCACATAAAGCATTCAAGTTGACAAAATGAAACTATTCAAATGAACAAAGTGTCATTTAAATGCCAAACACTGTTTTACTTTCCTAAATTCTAAAAAACAAAAAATTGCAACATAAAATATAATTATGTTGGAAAAGTGTCTAGTTTTGACTAAATAATGTGTTTTTAAACCTTTGCCAATGGCTGGGTCCATGCATCACATGTAGAAACTCACCAAAACATTATTGACTTTATTGTCACTATTATTGTATGAAAAATGACAAAAGTAGTTACCCATTAGTTTCAATTTGAGGTAGTTCTACCATATTTAACCTAAAAGATATTTTCATCTTGTGTATTTGATGGAATACAATAACCTTCTTGATTTTATGGTGTTGAAACTAAAAGTACTTTGAATTTTACTTTTTTTTCTAGAGAACCAAAATGAAGTTATTAGAGATTTTAGTGGGTATATTATGTGTAGGATATGTTTCTAGTTTGGATAATGGACTAGGTTTGACACCACCTATGGGCTGGTTATCATGGGAACGTTTTCGTTGTAATATTGATTGTACAAATGATCCTGACAATTGTATAAGGTAGGTGTACTTTGGAATATTTGTCATCTAGACATTATTTGTTCAAATAAAGGTAGATTGACTTATGAGTAAATCAAATCATCTGCACCTGTAATATTTTTGTTAGATTGCAAACATTGAGAGAACCAAACACTGAGAGAACCAAACACTGAATTTCACCTCTGAATAGTGATACGGACAGTTTAAATTGAGCCATATCAGCTGATATAGAAACGCCATATCCCAATAATATTGGGTGCTATTTTATGTGTTTCAGTGAGAAATTGTACATGTCAATGGCCGACAGATTAGCAGAAGATGGTTATAGAGATGTAGGATATGAATATGTTAATATTGATGATTGTTGGTCATCAAAACAAAGAGATTCTAAAGGACGTCTTGTAGCTGATCCTGATAGATTCCCAAGTGGTATCAAGGCTTTAGCTGATTATGTATGTTTTTCTTTTTCCTATTAAGGGTTTACATTATATGATTTTAGTTGCATGATTCATGATATGGAAAATGGAGCAAAAAAAAGCTGTTCTTAAAAAAAAACATGTTGTTATATCTGCAAGTCTGTGGTTATAGAAGTCACATTATTCCTTTGAAAGGTAACCATTAAAATGTTAATAATTATCTACTAACTGTTTTATATACCCTCTATGGTGTTATTTATTGGTATTTTAAAGATCTGATTTCTTTTGATCTAGGTTCACAATAAAGGTTTAAAATTGGGTATTTATGGTGATTTTGGAACCTTTACTTGTGGTGGCTATCCTGGTAGTGAATTTTATATGGAATTAGATGCTCAGACATTTGCTGATTGGGGAATAGATTCCTTAAAATTAGATGGATGTTATGCCAGAATTTCTGATATGCCTTTTGGTGAGAATTATTGCCCTTAACTTAACACTTTAATTCCATGGAAGTTACTCAATCCTAGTGACATCATTAGCCTGACACTAGCTGTGAATGTTATAAATGTCCTTAATATTTTTGGAACAATTTGAAATAATTCTTTAAAAATCAAAAAATGATGGTTGTAATCAAGCTGTGTTAAATTGTAGAATGAAAATAACATGTTTATTACAGGCTACCCTGTGATGGAGTTATATTTAAATCAGACTGGTAGACCAATATTATATTCCTGTAGTTGGCCAGCCTATACAGCTCATGTAAGTAGTAAATACTGGAAACCTTAATATGATTATATGGGAACACTTTAAATGACATGTGATTTCTAAACCATACAGATTTGCCATTAGATCTCAGTGGTTCATGGAGTTCCAGAACAACTAGATTATTTTTTACAATCTGTAAGAGGCTGCAGAATAGCTAAACACATAACATGAAGAGTTTGTTTGTGCTGTATTACAATTACCATTCTTTACTTTATGTGTTTCAGCCTAATTATCCAGCTATTGCTAAAAGTTGTAATATTTGGAGAAATTATGGTGATATTCAGGACTCCTACTCAAGTTTAGCATCAATTATAGAATTCTATGGTAAAAATGAAGGTAATTTTAGTGAAGTTGCTGGACCTGGTAGATTTAATGATCCTGATATGGTAATGTAGAATATTTTAAATGTAAAAGTTTTAGAGGCACCTAATATATAAAGGGATTTTTTGTCTCCATTTTAATCCAACAAGTTTGTAACAGAGTCCTGTTCAAATTCCCTTATTTCCAACCATCAAAGCAAGTCTTGTAAGATCATTTTCTTGCTAACAATGGCAATGGGCTGTCACAACCTGAGAAAGCTATCAGAAAATAAAGAACTTGTAAGATACGTGATTCGTTGAAGTGTTGGCTTACCCTCTTAACTTTCTTCTTATTTTTTTCAGTTAATAATTGGTGATTTTTCATTAAGTTATTATCAACAAAGATTACAGATGGTAATGTGGGCTATCATGGCCTCACCATTATATATGTCTAATGATTTAAGACAAGTACCTGAACAATCTAAAGAAATTTTACAAAATAAAAATGTAATAGCTATAAATCAAGATCCACTTGGTATTCAGGGAAAAAGAGTGGATAAGGTAAGGGTCCAATATCATTTGATAAGGGATTTGTATATTTGATGAAATTTAAACTCTGATTTTTCCATGACTGAAAACCAATAGCTTTTGAAATTTTAAGCAAAGGTGAGCTAACATTGCTCTTTGAGAATTTTAAGTTTTAACTCATTATTCGGCCCGTTGTGGAGCAAATTAATAGTAAATAATCGTCATTTCATTATTTTTCAGGTGAATGATTATGAAATTTGGGTCAGGCCCTTAGCAAAATCAAATTATGCCTTTGCAGCAATTAATCTAAGTGGGTCATCACCTTCAAATGTGAGCCTTCCCTTAGCTAAGTATGGCTTAACTAGCACTGGAGGTTATTTAATCACTGAAGGTTTTACTGGTGATAAGGTAGTGGTATATAAGCCTCATCAGATGTTTACAACCAAAGTTAATCCAGATGATGTATCGTTTTATAAAGCTACAAAGTTGTAATTTAACCTTCTAGCAAAACTAACCAATAAAATGCTCAATGATTATTTTCTATTCCAATTCTAAACCCTTTTGTTTATCTCTGTATCTTGAATAATGCAAATGAAAAAGATTTTTAAGTATTTGAATGAATGTCATAAACTTTGTTTGGAGGTATATGTTTAACCAAAATATAAGTATCAAGTTTCACCAACTACATATACAGGTGGACACATATACATACATGCTTCTTTAGCATAGGGCATATTTGAACATGATCGATTATCTTTGATGTTTTTTCATTTTAGCTAGGATAGTCATGCAATCTTAATAAAAAACATTCCATAGTGTGTTTTTGGAATTTGTAGTATTGTTTAAATTGTTTGTTATATTTAGTTTGTTATCTTATCACAGTAACATTTTGTTTGAAAATAATATTTGTACAATAATATTGATAAACTTAAATGATAAACAGAATTATCTATCAAAATTATATGTAGATCAATATATGATTATATATATTTTTAGTTTTACTAAATTATCAAATGGTTTTATCAATTTAGTTCAAAAATTTCATCTCAGCAATTGAAGTTAAAAATGACTTCTATTTTATTGATGCAAACCTATGTTTGTGATTTAATAAATAAAAGCTTAGATTAAGATTTTTCATGTCTTGAAAGGGTTAAATACAAATAGTTCAAAACTCCAAAATTTAAATTACTATTAATGAGTTCAAAAACAGTTAAATATTGTCAATTCCAGAGCAGTGATTCTCTTCCAAGGGTATTATTATTTCCAAGGGGGTATCTGTGATAATTTCAGGGGAAAAAGCCCAATGGAAAAATTATTTATCACTATCATCATATATTTAGTTGAAATATTGGCTTCTCTCAATAGTATTCAAAGAAAAAACAATCATTCATGACACTGACTTAAACACTTCGTGTGACTTAATAAATGCCACTGAGCAAAGATTTTTAATAGTTTGTATGAACTTTCACATGTCTACAAATATGCCATCTTGATGTGCATTCTATTACTATCTGTTTGTACTATTTACTTTTCTCAGTTTGAAGTTGATGGACATAGTCCAGATACAAAGCTTCAAAATTTGTACTTCAATAAATCATTAGGGCAGTTTTATATAAATTAAACACTTTGAGCATTAATATATTTTAATATCAATCTCATATTTATAATAGTTTTAATATCAAGCCTGATATATACATAGATATACACAGCATTTGTCCTTATTATAACAAGCTTATAAAAAGCTTATATTAACTTGATATTATTTTCACATCTCAAATTTCATATTCAAACATTTCCAAGTTCAGGATTTCAATAATTTCCACATTTGACACAAGGTTTGATCATTTTTTTCTTATTGAACATCAATATATTTTGCACTCTTTACACTAGTGATACGTGTATTTTGACAGATTTCTAAACACCCATATATCTTAGTGTTTTACTACAAATATACACTGATTTGAATTTTCCATTTTGAAAGTTTGTATGATTCTCCAGATATTGATTTCATTTTAATAAAGGATATTTCTAATAGTTTACTAAAAATTTTCTCTCAGATTATGCTACACAGCAAATATACTTTCACCACAAAGCTCAATTAGTATGACATGCCAAATTTTTCTATTCACTTCAAACTAATATCAAGTTCTGAAGACAAATTTGAAAATAAGTTCTTATATATTCTTATTCTGAGAAATAGAAAAAAATTTAACCCAAAAGTTAATTTTGTATTACAAAGTTTTAATTAAAGCGGATCTAAATATTAAGATAGATATCACAGGTACGGTATGTATTCAGGTAAATAATAATAAGGTGTTTTTTTTTAATTATCGGTTGGCTGGTAGATGACAAGTTAAAGTCCACTTCCAGCAAAAGCCGATATCGCAGACTAATATCATCTACAAGACTTACAATATATATCTTATCACTGGCTGAAACAATGACATATTCTACAATTCGTTGCAAATGAAAGTTTTTCAAGCATACAGTATGAGCCAATTTCTCTAGAAAAAGTAAAATTTTAATTCCATTAATAATAAAATTGATAACATCCCAATTTTTGCCACTTATTTATAACTACAATCTAAATTTGTGCCAGTATTTATAATGTATTCTTAAATATTTAACACACAATTTCTTGAATAAAAATAAACCATCAAAAAAGGGAAGAAATATTCACAATGAAAAAGGTAGTTTTCAGTTTCGGATCATGTTTGTCAAAAAAATATAATTGGTTGCTGAGAGGTTTCTGAAACCAAAATAATAATCGTGTCCATATACTATTTGTTTCTAAATATAATTCCTGGAAATGATAATGATAAATAATACTAGTCAGCAGTCTTTTAAGTTAAACATACAGAACAAATGATATATTTTATAATCAATAATAAATATAAAATAATGGAATTAAAATGTGGTGCATCAAGTTTAAATAGTTAAAAACCAAAACAGATCTTAAAGAAGTTATTGGGCCATGGACTTGTCAAATATAAATGTTTTATTTTCAAAATCCAACTAAAAGTATAAGATTTATGCCATAATCAAACAGAATCTAGGCAATTTAAATCAGGTTTTAAATTCATACCATTAATAGCCAAGGAAATGACAAAATTGCAGCTGTACATCTTCGAAGAGTAGTATCATATAGGTTTTGATATAAGTATGAGATCATCGTACAAGTCTTAACTTATAGATAAGGTAAATTAAAATACAAGGTTTTAACATGAGTAATGTACAGCACTATATATCAAATAATCTTCATCAAGAAACCATTGTCTTGTATCAAACTTTACAAAACACACATTGCATAATTTTCTTGCCATTTGAAATTTAACGAAAGTGGGCAAGTTTTTACAGTTATATTCCTATACCAAAAGGCTTCTTTTAGAGGAAATGACCTTACACACAATATTAAATGCGAAAGTTATCTAATAATTTGATAAAAACTGTTAAATTCTCAATTTGAGATATTGACTTTGAATAATTTTATGAGTTATGTCTACAATGTTAGCACTAATGAAATGAAGTAATATTGGAGACAATACCCTCCTACTATTATATAGTAGATGACTATATCCTTCATACTTTATGTAGGTGATAACAAATTTCAAATTCTAATATTTTTTTCTAAACCTTTTTCCCTTAGCTTAATAATTCCACCACCTTTCATGCCATATTATTCAAATTAAATATTGGCAAATAAGTAAATTAAAATTAAATAGAAAACTCCTATTTTAAAAGCAATGATGCATTCATTATATACAGTACTGAAAGTTAGTAGCTTGACTGATTAGGATTCTATTTTCTCAAATAGCCCTTCATAATGTAAAATTTCTAAGGTAAATACAAGTACTTTTTTTCAATTTTTATCTCAAGACTATTTGAGAAGAAGGGCCAAGAAGCCAGTTTCTCAAAAAAATTTACTGAGATCAGATCCACATGTTAAGAATACAGTCATCTGATTGTTTATAAAACTAATATTAGTATCATCTTGAGTAAAGTTGTCCAAAATTTTTTTCAGATAGTCTTTTCAAACTTTTCAGCTATCTTCTAAAACTAAACACAATCCATTATGGTGCTGATCAATATTTTCTTTCATCTGTTTTGTACTTGAGTAGATAAAACACATAAGATAAATCCATTAGGTTTGTCCATAAATCACAATACCTAGCACATATTACTGGACTATCCGTCCAAAATAAACTACAAGGCAAATTGTAATAAATTCCTTGTCCACAAGCATTAAAAATATGGTTTTAGCAATAACTGTTATATATATAAAAACTCTGGACATTAAAAACATAACAGTCAGATTATTAGAATTGTCTATTAAAAACAACCATCACGCCAGTTATCTTCAGATTCTTGGTTATTGTAAGGACGTGGTGAGGGAATATTTGATCTGAAATTACGCAAAAACTTCAATTGAAATATATGAAATTTGATAAAAAAAAATGAAAATATTACCATTATTTGGGTATATCAAAAGGATATATTATAAACAGGTACCATGTCTGTCTCTAAAGAAAGCTCAGATCAACTAGCAATTCACATAGTCTTATTGAATCCATTCCAATCAAAGTTGACTGATTGAATTAAGTTGCTCCAAGATTCTGCAGTGACCTCGTTGACCATAAGCTCCTTGTAAAGGTAACCATCAATTCCATGCTATGGGAGGGGACAAAAATCACAATCTTAAGAGCAACAAAAATATGGATCCAATGGTTGTTCTATCTAGAATTCTAATATTATTTCTTGTTGATTTATGTTATTTCAATTTACATACCGTCTAGGCGAGGGTAATGAAGATCTTCCAGTAGAAGGCCGTGGGATTGAACGTCGACTCATTGGTTGTGGTAGACCACTTCTACCAGGGGAGGCACCACGCCGTACAGGAGTAGGTTGTTTTAAGCCAAATCCTGGTGATTGGGATCGTATAGTAGGTTGTTGTAAACGTTTGACAGGTCGTGTTTCTGGGGCTAGGTTGGCCTCATCACTACCTACAGATTGATGATCAAGACTAGAATCACTAGAGTACTGATGTAATCTATTAGCTTTAGATAAACCTCTTTTAGTATAAGTATCTGAAAAATATATCATATCATCATATTCATTTTTATAATTGGTGAAGTGAATCATTATGCTTGCAAAAGCTCAACCATTTTAAGCAATAAGAGGCATCATTTTTCTTTTTCTTTCAAAATAATAAGGGCTCCATTCTCAATCTACAAACAAAAGATTGATGGCATAGAAAAAAAATTGAAAATGTTGTCTTTCAGAATATTTTAGTAAACACAGCTGTAGATATCAAACACAGTTAACGAAAACAAAGTTTTGAGTGTATCACTCCTAAGTCTATGAAAATGTAAATTGTTGCATTAAGTTGGATATGTGAAATATCTTACTGTAGTTATATGGTTCTTGTTGTGTTTGAGGGCTGTCTGGTGGGCTACTTCCATCTGAATCTATACTATTTCTATATCTCTCTAATACACCACTATCTATAAATACATCAACACAGTTATTCCTGAAAACCATAGCCATGCCCATGACCTTTTTGAAAAGGTATTCATGACATCCAGCCAATATGACCCACATATTCTTTCCATTACCACATTTGTCAACAATTAGTAGGCATTTATTTGTATTTTAATTTATATATCAAATTACCTAATAAATTCTAATAAAGAATCATAGACCTATATGCTAAACTTGACAGAGCTTTATCTAAATAATTCTTAAAACCTAACCCTATTACTGTAAATACAGGTAAAACATTTCATGATTTGCCCTTATATACAAAATTGTGAAGCCATATTTCCATTTCATGTGTCATTACACCATAAAATATTTAGTCATTGTATATCGGATTACAGAGTCTACACTGTATTTTTCTTAAGAAAATATTCTCAGTCCTGAATTTACAAATCAAATAGCATGCATCTATGTGAAACAGACAAACCATCAAATCTGCCAGGACTAGATCTTGTTGAACCAACCGGTGAGCCACTATTATCAGTATCACTAGCTATAAAGCCAAAACCTTTTCTATTCATACCTAGGAATGGGTGAAAGAAGAGTGAAATATAGATGTAACACAAACACCAGAGAGTGGGTCTAAATCTACATAGGATTCATCAAATGTGTACAATACCAGATGACATTACAGTGGAATGATATTATTATCAGTGCGCAAAAGCAATACCAGCTTTTTCCGTTACATTTGATAAACAAATGGCCAGATGACATTTACAAAAGATAATACTATTATGGATATGGAGTAGCAGAAATTATATGACAATTAAATTGTCAACTTCTACTGAATCTGCTGCAATATTTAGTTTCAATGAATACAATTGGTTAAGAGTAAAATTCAACTTTCAATAAAAATGGTGTGAATATCACCCTGTACACAGATGATGAATTAAGATCTACAGGATTAGTCTTGTGACAAACAGACCATATTTCATTATTGACCAAACATTATATTACATTAAAGAGGTTTTTCTAAATTGTTAATTAGTATCAAGGACACTGGTAGCCTCAGTTTGGACGATTCCAGTTTTCAATCAGACCTCTGTGGTTCCTGCAATTTCACTAGAAATCAGTATTTGATGATGTCACCAATCCCAAATATGCTTGTATCAGTTTTAGTAGAATTACAGGAACCACAGAAGTCAAGATTGAAAAACTGGAATGGTGCAAATTGATGCTATCAGTGTCCCTGATACACAATTTTTTTTGTTTTTTTTTACAAAACCCCTTTAATATCAATGTATAAATGTTATTAATAAATTAGATTAAAAGAAGAAATTTCTGCTAAAATGTGATTAAAAGCACAGAAAAGAAACTTAAATTCTATAAAGTTTCACTCAGAATGATAAAGAGAAAAAGGGACTATTGAAATAAGAGATGTAATACTTGTTGATTCTAGAGTAAAGTGAAAGCAGTCTAATGGTGATGAAATCTGTGAACTCTTAAATAATCTGATTATATAATTAGATTACAATTAATTTTCTGATATTTTTCATCTCGTCATACTGCTCTACTTTGAGTTTCAATATATCTTAAATAATTATTATAATTATCACATCTTACATGACACATTTTGATTGGTTATCTATGAAGTCTTCAGAATGGGATTGCAGAAGAAAACTTGTTTGATTACAATTTAGAAGACAAAAATCAGAAAAAGAAAGAAATGAAATTGTAATCTAATTCTAATAAATATAGAATTATAATAAGCAGAAGTAGTCAGCCCTAATCCAAGGCTGAGATAAAGGAAGAGAAAAAATCATTCAGTTGATATTTACCTCTTCTAGGTGAAGGATGATGTGTTATACTTTGTCGCAAACCTATGAAAACAGAATATCCAATTAAAACATGTACATATTCAAAATTTACTTTTATTTTAAAATAATCTTGGATCGCATATCATGGCAAAAGCTATATATTTCAATGTTTTCCTGTTGACATCAGTTGGATCTCAAAGCATGATCGCTTGTTGAAAAATCGATGTCTTCTGATAAATGATTAATATATGTATGCATGACCAGTTCCTTCAAAATCCAATGAGCCACAAACTGAGAACTGACGAACAAACGAACAAATACAAACATTTTCAAAAACAAATATGCATGAAAAATACTCCTATAGTCACAAATATGTCTTACTTTCTTCTTGTAATTTTGCTACAGCTTCAATATCAGTGACTTCTGGTAACCTCTCATTATTACTATATTCATTTTCTTTCTCACCATTATTATAACGTAACTTCTCTCCTGATTTATTTTTACGTGGTCTAGTAAACGTACCAGTATCTACACGAGTACCACCTGTAAATATAAACAATTATTTTACTCTTGTTGTCATTGCACATTTATACATAGATAACAAGCATGCACATGTAAAGCTGCTATAACATTCATAAATAACAATGCTTATCCCTTGAATTTATCAATTAATTTGTCAAATTTTATTCACTGTGTTATTATATATAGCTTATATAGTATAGTTTGAATTGTATGTTTAAATCAAATCAGGTTTAGATAACATTATGTACTTTCAGAAGTATCAATTACTAAATTAGCTATAAATATCTAGAAATTAAAAGTAAAAAGATCAACACCTGACTATAACACAAACAAAATAATACAAAAATATAATATACAAAAATATACAAAATAAGATATAATATGAGAACAACAGCAGATCAATTTATATTCTTTTTCATTTGTTGCAAATATAGAGAACATGGTCCATGATCAATAAATGAGGAGAGATTTGCATTGCTTAAACACAACCATTGGTATGATGCATATTGTTGTTAGGGTAAATAAAGAGTTTTTGTCATCAAAATGCTTATATTCACAAATCAATGGTATGGTTGTTTAATAAGTATTTTCTGTGATCATGCAATTATAATGTCAAATTCAATGCACCCAGCTCTTTTTCAAGCTCAGACATCATAGTATTACAGGCTGACATGGACATGATAGTGTGCATATAAAAAATATTAATACTGAAATAGTAAATGTGAAATAAAATAAAAAATATAAAGTTTAATGGTTAACTAAAGAAAATTAAGCAAATAAACTGAATAGTGCCTCTTTAAGTAGTTGAATGTGATTCAGTTAAAATATTAAAACCACCACCATAAACTTAAAGATACAGCCAATACCTGATTATACCTTAATTACATTATACACTACCTACAACCTTAGACAGGTGTTCAGAAAGTTGAGTTTTATAATATGTGTGCTAATTAATATTGCAAAATTGGTTCTTGAAAAAAATACAATAAAATGTGCAAATGTATGATAAATCAAAAGCTAGAAATTATTAAAATAAATGAGAATATAAGTATGTAGTGACATTAAAAAATTTGTTGAGTGATTAAATATTAGCGGCTATACACCATTACCCACCTATACTAGCTAAAAGTGATTTCCGAGATGAGGGGTGCATACCGTATGGGCTACTATTTTCTGCTGAGCGACTAAGAGAGGAATTTGAAGAGGGGTGATGATTCCCAAGACTAGGTGTACTGCAACTTCGGTTCACTGAAAAGCAAGAGATGATAATGATAATAATGAATGACAACAATTAATGAATTGGAAGGGTTTAAAATGGCACTATGCCAAGGACTTAGATTAGGATCAGTAGATAACCATTTAGACCTATTTAGAAGGGGAGCTCAATTTCACCTTATTCAACCTACTACAGATTATCATGTCTACCAAGAATGATCACTGATTAAAATTCTTTACTAACTACTATCAAACTACTATGTAGTCAAAATGATCCAAATATGTTTGAAAATAGAAATGTATCAATTTATATACATATAATTGACCTCTCATTAGTGGATTGTCAATAATTTCCTCTATTACAGTGAACTACAATTATGCAACCACAGTTCTCGACTTCGGTGCCTGTAACCAGTTCCAGTCAAATTTAAGCAATTACTGCAATTCCAAATCAACCATACTGAGGACACTAACATCCTAAACACATGTTGGCAGCGAGAGCTAAGTTCATGTATAATTTAAAGATCTTTAATACAAAAGCATACAATCTCTAGCATATTGCTATGTTAAAAAGGGTGCCTCAATACCACAGTGCCACAATATTCAAGTTTATTTCTTTATTCATATTGCAACATAAACAAAATAGGATAGTAAAGTCCAAAAATATCAACCAATAACCACCTTTTGAAAAATATCCATAAATAAATTAAAAAAAAAGAAACACAGGATGAAAGAAAGACTGAACAAAGGGTGTAGAATGGATGACTAAAGGATGTGACATGAATGAATGACAATATTTTCCACATGACACTATGACATTTGACAGTTGGGTGAGGAAATGACATAGTGGTTAAGAAGAACACAGCCTACACCAAAATTAATATAAACAAAATTAAAATAAATTTCCATTTCTTCCTCAGACTGACCTTGGTTGACCCATTGTAAATCTACAAAATTATAACATAAAATTGTTTAATTATTATCTAATTACTTTTTTACTGAAGTAGAAGTAATCATTGACATTGACATACAAATACTTTTAATTTGTTTATAACAAATTCACTTAAACATTCAGGTCTAACTAATCAATTATCTGATTATAATATGATCTTTATGTTGTATTTTATATTTTTTCTATGCATGCTGTTGAAATTGTAATGTAGTAGTTATTATAGGTTGTAAGCTTATCAAAATTTGATTGTTTCAATAAAAGCCTTGAATACAACAAGTGAAAAATTCACTGTTAAAACATTTCCAATTCAAATGCATTGTCAGTCAACTTTTGTTTAGAGTTTTAGAAGATCTGGATGGTTAGCATGAATTATGATGCAATTAAGAAGAACTTCTTCAGATCATATGAAGAACCACAAGGAAAGACAGAATGCAAAACATCTAGATCTGTATTATAATAGGAGATCATTAGAAATTAGTTTCTGTGCTTCTATTCCCTCACATAGACTATTCTTTTGGATGTGTCAGACAAGTGATTTATAGTGCCAAATAGTTTGTTGCTGTCTAAATATTAGTACCAGTAACTGATTAATTTTGACAAGTATCTACCCCTTGTCAATAGTAAACAGCTGTTTTTATTAGTAGAAATACTTATTTCCAGTTTCTTTTACACACCCACACAAATCATGTTCACGTTCTCATTATATGAACTACTTCCCTAACCTCTATGTTAACATGCAGACTTGCCTAATTTGGCAATCAGAATAGTCAGGCATTCATGTCTGGATGACCTTTATCAAACTAGACATTGGATATTCAGAAAGTCTTGTTTCAACTTGAACTGAAAACATTCTAGTCACATCTAATCTTATTATTTAATTAGATTACACTTTGGTTTCTCAAAAACTAGAAAACGTCCGCTTTTTTGTACGGTAAAAGATGCAAAAGTGAATAAGGGACATGGTCATGTTATATTTCAAATTTCCTGCTGATAGAAGTTAATTTCTTCACAAGCTAAAAAATTAATAATCACATAACTCGATCATTTAATATAATTGTTTTAGTGAAATTCCCTTTTTTCAAAATAAAATTGAAACTAAGAAATGACAAAATTTGAAACCAACTTACTTCGAGCTACTTCATCCATTTTTGATAATAAGGATTTTCTACCAGATTCTAATTCAGGACTAGGATGATCAAATTCTTGGCGGACCCATTTATAGGGACTAACTTTAGTCTGCTGGGGGGTGGGCGCTTTTGGGGAGCTGTATAACCTGAAAATAAATGCAAAACTTTTATATTATGTGCATTGACATAGCCTATAATTTCTGTTTTGAGATATCAGTCTCTATGATAAACAATTCTTTTCTGAATCAGTGTATGAATTTGATTTTGGTTGGCCAGTTTGTTCTGTTATTTGGGAATATATACCAGCCCTGAAAGACCATGGTTCACTATTTTCAGAGCTTGCTTGAATATGTTATTCCAGCCTCTGATAGATATTTTGACAGTTGTTGGCGAAGAGTCCGAAACAATATATCACATCTTCGAAGATGCTTTTTTCTGACATAAGATTAAACAACCTTTATGATTACTGTAAATTTAGTGTTAGGCATTGCCATAACTTTTGCTTTGTTATTATCGTATGACTGTGACATTTGAACTTTTGGTTTTAAATGGCAGATTCGTTAAAAAAAACTTTAGTGGAACCGGAGATGCGACATATATGGTGTTGGGAGGTATGAGGTATTCGTCCAGGTCTAGATCAAAAACTAAACACTTCGTAATCAGGGCTAAGGTCTATCATATGACATAAGGTGTATGGATAATTTTTGATTATCCAGTCTTTAACTTATACATTATGGTGGACTTAAAAGTCAATGTAATATTTTAACAGTGAAAATATTTTGGTATTGTGATTATGGATAGACATGGTTAAGAAACTAACATTTGACATTAAGCTGTGAAACAAAAGACCACCTACAAAAATGGTAAATCATGGCCTTTAATAATCATCACTTAAGGTTAGAATAAGAAATTTTGAGGCTTGATTTTCTCATCTGATCTACATATATTGTCAATGTAATGAAATCAAGCATAATTTTTGTTGACATGTTTTATTTGTATTCAGAACATTAGTCTACTAGACCTACTTATATTGACAAACAACTACCTTCTGCTACAGTAACACCTTGTGAGAAGTATGGTTTGATAGTAATTACTTTTACCTATACCTGTATATAGTCAACATCTGTTTGCCTCGTTAAAACATTTACCTACTGATATATATAAACCTAATTCATGTAAAAACTTTAAACTTTATAGTGTTATTGAACTGACAAAATCTTTTTTTCATGCCCAATGAGTTGGCCTAAGAATTCTATTTGTCTGAAATACGCTTATTATCACTTTCCATTTTGAATTCATCCTTTCATTTACATAAAAGTTAATCTCTGCTAAAATATCAGGTTTCACACAACTATGAAATTTGAAATTTAAACATCATCTTAACTTCAAAATCACTAGAAAAGAAAACCATTAAAAATATTATTCATTTCAGGAGCTTCCAAATATTATCATTTTGTGGTATTTATCATGAAGTTAAGGCCAAATGCCAATATTTTCATTCCTATTAATAGATTATGAGAATAGATCTAATCCCATCATATATATGTCAGAGATGTGTTAATGAAGTGTCAATTAGCTACAAGGTTATCAGGTAATGTGATATAATTATATAATCATAGCCAAATAAACTTCACTTAGATAAACCTAATGCAGCTTTATTTTGCTACTACCTTCTGGCAAGGATGCACAAGTTAGACATTAAGGTTGATAAAATCATAACTAAGGCCAAATATATCAAGCCTTTAATCCTTAGTATCATTTCAGTACTGGTATGGTATAGGAAATAATACCAAGAAAGTTCAATTTTCCAATTCTCTATCCTTCCATACTTCTTGATTGAATTTGATTTCTTTATGATATTGATACACAAAATAGAGAGTGTCAATGAATAATAAGATATAAAATAATGTGTTGTGTCTCTCACTCTCAGGACATGTGATGCTAACTGGCTCAGAACAACAGAAGATGTTTAATGCCATCATAAATAGGATAACATACAGACAGCTTATAAGCTCAATGAAACGTATTGTAAACATGATAGGTATCAATCATCGGTTTCAGGTATCATTCGCAAATAGGTTCAATGTCAAAGCGCACAGGAACATGCAAACACTTAAAAATTATATCATGCATTGCAATCCATTATGCAGGTAAAACAATGTAGGCCTAATATGTCACACTCCAGGCAGGCTATGCACTATTCTTCAAATATCTTTCAAGTATGGTCAGCTGGTTATAATCAAACTAATCAGTAATCATGACATTTAGTCTATTTTGGGACTGACCAGCTAAACATTTACTACTAATATAACACATCTGATCAGTCGTTATATTGACAATTTTTAGCCATTTTTGTCTTGGTTCAGGTAGATATAGCACTAAAAAAATACGAAATCCATCTTACCAACTTTCTTCTTCCTCTCGAATAGATAATTCGTCAACGTTGACAATTTCAACATCATCTAAACCTTTCAGAGAGTCTTTTTGAAGCTTATTTTTGACATTGTCTGTGTTTTTACTGACCGGTTTGGCATCTTCCCCATTTGGAAGGTGCGAGTCAATTGTCTGAAGTTTTTGTTTGCTTCGAAGTAATTCATTCTGTTTTTCTAATTTTTTCACTAAATCCTGCAGTTTCTTCACTTCATCTTGTGGATCTATTAACGGGTTTGATTGTTCCATGTTGTTAAAAACCATTAGCTGCACGCTTGAAGAATATTATACTGATTTTAAGACATCCTTCGGTATATTTTTTAACACTTCGACGCCATATTTACAACAAAACACGCATGCGCAGTTCTTTTTCCTTGCCCAATATGACAAATTATGTTACTAAAAATAAATCATTCATTTCTTGCGTTAACCATTTTTAAAGTTGGGCCCCCCTTAGATAAAGTACCGGTATGTCAAATTGACCTTTCCAACATTTTGCCAAATCATGAATAGAAAGCGCTAAATGCATAGATCTACATAAGTGTACCGGTACTGAATTATTGATGGCTTATAATTAAGATATATTAGACAAAAACTACTAGAGTTTCAGTTATAAAAAATTGTATTTCAAATTTGTTAGAAATGAAATTCTAGGGTGCAAAAAATTTTTCTAGTAGGACACCTTACTAACTTACAGTCAACGTAAAGGTAACTTAACATGTTAGAAAAAATGCATCTTTGAAGGTTTGGAAAATACTCCTAATAGAGGGCCTTTTATTTTGAAAAGACTCAAGCTATTTACATGCAGTCAAAATATCTCAGAGCCATGACTACTTTCTAGTAGTGTACTGGAATAGGCATAGAGGCTAGATCAGACGTTGCATGGATTAGAGTTTTTTGGTAGCTGAAAAATTGGCCAGTATTCAAATGGACACATAGTTAGAATGAAATATCAAAATATGATTTTGATAGTTTTTTTTTTATCAACAAAATTGTTTTCAGGAATTTTTGAACATGCAAACCATAGATATCTTATAATAGACTATTATATGATATCTATGATGCAAACATTCCCCCTTTAATAAGATGTTAAAAGGAGACAACTCTTCTATTACTATTTCTACCCGCCCGGAAGTTATCTAATTGAGCACATTCTGCATCCTGTGAAATGTAAGTGAAAAATGATAATTATGAATTTCTCTTTGTTCCTTTGTTTTTGCTAAAGGATTTCAGTGGAATAATTGATTAGTCCATGTGACTAGGCCTATATCGAGATATTATTGAATGCATGTTGATTAACAACCCATGAAACAATGGTAAAACTCCCAGTTCAAATGCCGCAATGGCACCTGCAGCGGCACTAGTAGGCTACTCAATGTTAGTAGTACCGGTACTCATAAAGTACTAATATATAATAGTCCTATTCGAAGTATAATATTGTGGCTAGTGTCAAGGTATCACTGGCACTGGATCAGAGACTTAAGATTTACCACATGCTCATCATAATATTATAATAATAGGTTTCATTTCATTGTGTCCAAAAATAACTCGTACTCATAAGGAGATTATTATTGTTCTATTTATTTTTTTAGGATACCAGCTTTTAACTGTAATTTGAATATAAACAAAATTGGGTCATTTTACTTGCCATAACAGGTTAATAACAGGGTATACAATTGCCATGATGATAATAATCAAATAAGATTTTAATTCTTTTAAAAAAAAAAAATAAGAGAAAAATGAATATACAGTGGTGTAACCTATTTTCGTGGATATAAGATTCAACACCGAATTTCGTCAAAGTTAAAAAAATGAAAAATTTTTTTTATGTCTTAGATGTTTCTTCAGATATTCTACAAAATAATTAAAATTGGTTTGTTTCAATTTTCTTTATGAATCCTTCACTTTGACCCATATTTCATGAGCAACCAACTCGGCAACGGCGGCAGAATGCGTCACCTATTTTCGTGTACAATGTTTGATCTATAAATAAGTCGAGAAAAACACGTTGTATGGATACCGCGTGGTATAATTAACTTCTCTTAGTATTTATCTTTAATATCAATTCATTATAACTACTGACAATTCCTTCAAAGAACCCCGATTTTAAAAAAAAATAGTGACTGACAAAATAAAATACGCAGCGTGATTTATTGCTAAAAGTCACTGAAAAAACATAAGAATATGGTCCACTTTGTGTTCCATAGAAATTTTCTGCTGACACAGAATCTGCTAGTTGATCACGTGACTTCATTCGTTGGAATATATTCTAGCAGATGACTTGGAATTCCGATTACCGCTTGGGATTATAAGGAAATTCAGCCGATAAAAGAAGATAGTGATGTTTGGTAATAAGTGAAATCCGCCATTTGTCAAAGTATACATTATTACACTTTACCTTGCTTGAAACTACTGGATTCATTCTACTAGCTGATATTGTAGAGAAAACCCATGTTTATCAACACAATCTAATGCGGAGGTCGCGCAAGGTCGCTTATATAAATTTTAATCCTTTCCGGAAATCCACGAATAATAGGTTTCCACGAAATTAGGTTACTTTACTGTATATCCTCGTGTGAGACTAAGCAGATTCTTCCAGCAAGTAGTCTACAATGTGCCATTATAGTTAATTATGCTTTAATGCCAACACCCCTATTATATTTTCTAGCTTTATTTTCAGCTGGCAGTGTAAAGTTACCAATACCCTCTGCTATATCATTGTCCAGTGTAGTATGACATCAACTGGTAAACAAATTTTGCATGACTGTATACAAAACTGCTTTATTTCCTTCTACATATAATCAATCTTTCCATGCTGATTGTTCGATAGCTATTATATTCTATTCCGGTTCAAAGATTTAGGTAGAAGTAGGCATAATTTCTAAATATATTGTGATACCGGTACTTCTATGCTTTTGTTTGGTGAATGTTGTAATCACTAACCAGTACAAAAAAATAAATAAAGTTTTGGCAATATCATACTAGTCTCACCTCATCCCTTCTATTAATTAGATTGATTGCATATTGTTTCATTTTTTTTTTTAACACAACCCTATCATGACATGTATCATTAAAAGCTGCAGTCATATAAGCTTCTCAGTTTCTCATTCTACCAAATTGATATCACCTAATTCAACCTGTAAATTTTTCCCTTTGGAATAAACAGTTGACTTGAAGTTTGCCTGCAATATAATTAAGTATAGAGAAATATTATCTTAGCAATGAAGTCATGATATTTGTAATATCTCAATACAAGATCAATAAAAAATAGCTGGGAAAAAAAAACCTTTGAATTTTACTATTCCTATTATTCTGCTTAGATAAAGATACTTTGGTTAGCATCTGTATACAACTATTCCTTTTGATTAATTAACAATTATATAGGACCTTTCCAGTTTAGTAACTTAGTGTTGTGATGCTGTAGTATAATTTAATATGAGTGATTTGTTGTATATACACTAATACATTAAAGTCTAGTTACCTGCATCTAGATATATGACAGACTGAGCTCAAATTCAGCGATCTATTGCAATTATTAATACATTATACGAAAATGTTGATCATATTCGGTACTATACTGATACTGTAAGTGATATGGACTGCTAAATTTGAGCTAAGTCAACAGCCAACAGGGGAAATTTCTTACAAAGGGAAATATTCTTGTGTTATAGGGTCATAGTATTTTCAATTTGTTATCAAGTATTTGGAGAGGTCATAAAACAAGTACTAATATTAACAAGAAAGAATTTCTAAACTCCTTCCCAACAAAAAGAATACTTTTGTTCACTTTTGGAAATCTAAAGATTTAAGAAAAAGAATTGTCTATTTTTGAAATCGTTGAAAAATTATACTGGATATTTATATTATAAGCTAATTAGATTATGATTTTGATCATCATGTTTTGTATTGTCTATTCTAGATAATACCTGCAATATGGTAATCGTTGAATGTACAGCATGTTCCCATCCTATTAATTTAGAGAAACACAAAAAAATCAGAACTCATCCTGAATTTGAAGTCATCATTTGTAAGGTAATTGTGCAGTTATACCATTAGTTTAAAAGACTTTAAAAGGCACTTAAGTCTTCAATTTGCACCATTCAGTCCCAACACTTGTGGTTGCTTTAATTATATATGTTAACAGATTTCCACACTTGGTATAAGCTTATAGTCACATCATAGTCAAGGTTTATTGAAATTACAGGAATCACAAATAACATTTAAAACTCAGAGAAAGCTCTTTGAGCTGAAAGGGCCATCTTTGAAAGCTTGGTCATGAAAACTTATTTTGAAATAAAAAAGCAAAAAAATATTATCATCTAACTCCAATTAATTGACATTTGTTGTAGTTTCTAGGAACTTTACTTTAGTCATTTTAATCTTATCTTGTTTGTTGTAGAAATGTTGGGACTTTTTAAAGAGTGGTGAGATCTCCCAAGATGAAGATGGTTATGATGAACAATGTCGATGGTGTGGTGATGGTGGGGAACTCTTAGGATGTGATTACTGTACTAAAAGTATTTGTCAGAACTGTATTAAAAGAAACTTCAGTAAAGATATTTTGGCATCTATAATGGGTATGTCTGTATATTAAAGATACTTTTCAGAGATGAGAAATTCAGGGTGATGAAACAAGGACATGTTGAAATGTGGATGAAATAATGCTTGTTTTGTATGGCTTGTTATAAGCAATGCCTTTCAGTGTACAATCTGTGAAATTTTGTCAGGAAAGTGAGATTTGTATTCTGTGGGTGAATTTTGAGTGAAATTAAATGCTTATAAGGCAATAATTTTTCATTGTTGTTTAACATACTGAGCTGCAAGTGACAATGTAATTTCATTGTGTTAGTTGGGATGACAACTTGCCTGTCACCAATGTCCGTCCACAATTGCTCGTAAACTTTGTAGTCTTGACTGATTTTCACGAAACTTGGTATGATTGTAATCACCCAAGGAAGAACCTCATTGATAATGAAAAAAAGAATCGAAATATATTTAGAATGAGTTATTGCTCTTGTGCTTGAAATGCTCATAAACACTCTAGAAGGTGCAATTCCTGAAGGATTTTGGTGAAACTTGGTGTAAGTGTTTGCTATCACCCAAGGATGAACCGTATCGATAATAAAAAAAATCACAAAATAATTAGTATGAGTTATTGCCCTTGTTCTTGAAAACGTGTTCAAGTTTTAGTCTAAACACTCTAGAAGGCCCAATTATTAACAGATTTTGACGAAACTTGGTAATATTATACAGTATGACCCCAAAAAGTTCAAAAGAAGTGTAAGAATGAAGGTTGAATATTTCATACTGGTGATTGTTACTGTACTGCCAAATATTTATATTTTAAATCAATGATGCCAGTGGGCGTATTTTTACTAATGTTACATATTTTATTTCAGATGAAAATGCTAAATGGGAATGCTATGGTTGTAATAAGACACCTCTAGTTAATTTAGTTACAGAAGCTAAAGAGTTAAAAGAATACATGAAAGAAAAGCATGCAGAAGAAGACAAGAAAGGTACTTTGAAGGACATATTGGGTGCAGTTCACTGAACAGACGCTTTTCATTATATTTTTACTGATTAAGGATAGCTTATTTTCTCAAGCCATGCCTCATAGCTTTCGATTTTTGGTTTGTTTTCTGAATACGTATACATCTGAAATATGGCCTTGAATCTGTAATTGTAAGTCTTTCCTTTTTTGAGGATGGCATCCATTTTGGGTTTTGAAATGAGTTATTTGATATGAGATAGATGATTATATTGACTTTAAGAAACTGTCAGTTTTGGAATTTTCTTTTCCAGGGAGTACTTCCGAGTCAGATGACAAATTAAACAGAAAGAAGAAAAGCAATAACAGTGATGATGAAATTAAATCTGACAAAAAGAATAAAGCTAGTGCTAATAAGTCTGAAGATGAATCTGAAGATGACAGTAGAAAAAAGTCCAAAAGTGCCAAGAAAGATTCTAAGAAGAGGGAAGAGGGTTCAGAAAATGAAAAAGTATCAAAAAAGCTCAAAAAGAGAGAGAAGAAAACAACTGCAGATAGCGATTCTGATGACGTTTCCTTATCTAAGAGAAAGTCAGAAAAGAAAAAGAAACCAGTTAATAGCGAAGAAGACAACAAAACCCCTAAAAGAAAAACAGCTTCAGCAAGAAATAAGATTAAATCAAAAAAAGTAGTTGATATAGTTGATAGTGATAGTGACTCAGAAGATGACATGAAAATTAATAAGAAAGATTCTGAAAGTGAAGAAGAAGAAAAATTTTCTAAGAAAACACCCTCAAGAAAAAAGGGTAAATCAAACAAAGCTGTTGATGATGATAGTGACTCAGAAAGTGACAAAAAGAAATATGCTGAAAGTGAAGAAGAAGAAGAAAAATCTTCTAAGAAAAAATCCTCATCAAGAAAAAAGGGTCAATCAAAAAAAGCTTCTGATAGCGATAGTGACTCAGAAAGTGACAAAAAGAAAGAGAAGGCAGCTGATAGTGATGAAGAAGAAAAATCTTCTAAAAAGAAAAATGCTTCATCACCAAAGAAGAGTAAATCAAACAAAGCAGCTGAAAGTGATAATGACTCAGAAGATAAGAAAAAGAAGAAGGCAGCTGATAGTGATGAAGGTGAAAAATCTTCTAAAAAGAAAATGGCTTCATCATCAAAGAAGAGTAGATCAAACACAGCGGCTGATAGTGATAGTGACTCAGAAAGTGACACAAAGAAAAAGGAGGCATCTGATAGTGATGAAGATGAAAAATTTTCTAAAAAGAAAATGGCTTCATCACCAAAAAAGACTAGATCAAACAAAGCAGCTGATAGTGATGATGATGAAGAAATAAAATCTTCAAAAAAGAAAAGGCAGTCCAGAAAAGCTGATTTTGACAGTGACTCAGAAGATCAGGAAAGGAAAAAAAAGAAGCCAGCTGCTTCTGATAGTGAAGGTGAAGATGATACAAAGATAACAAAATCCACAGGGAAAAAGGGTAAGAACTTTCAAGGCTTGGTTTTTAGTGTTTTTTTATGCCCACATAGAAATGTGGACGCTATTGCTGTCACTGTCCGTCGGTCTGTCAACATTTCTTGTGAACACAATAGAGACTACAGTTTTTATCTGATTTTAATGAAACTTGATGTGATAATGTTTATTATTGAGATCTTGGTCAAGTTCAAATTTGACAAGTTTTCAATGAACGGTTTTTGAGTTATTGCCCTTGACTTAAAAAAAGGGGTCAAAATTTGTATGTGAACACAATAGAGATTACAGTTTTCAACTGATTTTAAGGAAATTTGGTGTGATCATTTATATTGTTGAGATCCTGGTCAAGTTTGAATTTGACTATCTTTCGTTGAGTTATTGCCCTTGACTTAGGAAATGAACATAATAGAGACTACAGCTTTCATGTGATTTTTATGAAATGTGGTGTGATGATTTATATTGATGGATGAAATGAATAGCCAGAAAATTCGTACCTTAGTCACTAAAGACTGTTTTATCAATTCTGACAGCTGCCAGTGGGCTTATTTTACTTTGCCTCACAAGCTATCTTTCTCTGTTTATTTGAATATGTCAAAATTGACTGTTTTGGCCAAGTTCTAAACTTGAACTGAACTGCGATAGCCTTTTCCTAAAAAAGGACCCGCATAATGTGAAGTCAATACAACATCATACTTATACCTTGACTGAAACAGCCACAATCCAAGCAAATCGCTTTTACAAATTTCTATGATACAAGAAAGGTGAGTTATCAAGGTATAGTAAGAAGTTCGTAATAGCTTGTGAAAATGAAATACCCCTTGACCTTGATGTGAAAGTATAATAGGGGCTAATAATCTAAAAAAAAAAATAAAAGTAAATGTGTAATGTGTTAGATACAAATATATTTTGTTTTGTTCTCTATAACTTTATTCATACTTTGATTTGATGTTTGATAAAGTTTTTTTGACAAACCATTGCAAAGCTGTGTTTATAATTTTATAAGTTTATAATTGTAATCAGATAGACAGACAGTTGATAGATTATATGAATTTTTACAGGGAAGAATATCTACACTGATTCTGAAGAGGAATTGCCAACTTCCAAACATCAGAGCAAGGGAGCTGGGAAGAAATCTGAAAGAAAAGGTGGAAAAAATTCTGAATCTGTATCAGAAGAGGATTATGAGGAATTTATGAAAAAGGAAAAGCTAAATAATGCTAAAAAAGATAAAAGAAAATCTGGTACGCTATTTTGTTTTTTTAAGAGATGTTTTACTATCTGGTACGCTATTTTGTTTTTTAAAGAGATGTTTTACTATCTGGTACGCTATTTTGTTTTTTTAAGAGATGTTTTACTATCTGGTACGCTATTTTGTTTTTGTAAGAGATGTTTTACTATCTGGTACGCTATTTTGTTTTTGTAAGAGATGTTTTGCTATCTGGTACGCTATTTTGTTATTTTAAGAGATGTTTTACTATCTGGTACGCTATTTTGTTTTTGTAAGAGATGTTTTGCTATCTGGTACGCTATTTTGTTATTTTAAGAGATGTTTTACTATCTGGTACGCTATTTTGTTATTTTAAGAGATGTTTTGCTATCTGGTACGCTATTTTGTTTTTTTAAGAGATGTTTTGCTATCTGGTACGCTATTTTGTTATTTTAAGAGATGTTTTACTATCTGGTACGCTTTTTTGTTATTTTAAGAGATGTTTTACTATCTGGTACGCTATTTTGTTATTTTAAGAGATGTTTTACTATCTGGTACACTATTTTGTTTTTTTAAGAGATGTTTTACTATGTAACTAAACTGTTTTAGTCTTTGATGTTGTAACATCTCCATAAACCAATAAACATTAAACTTTACCAAGTCCATCGATTTTATAGGAAAGACGCCTTGGAAATGCAATATAGTCACATATGGGGCTCGCTTTTAAGTGGGCTTGATGAAACACAGATAACTGTCCCCAAACAAAAAATCGTATGCATTGATTAGAAAACCCCTTTTCAAACTGTTATATTGTGGAAGCCAACATGCCCTTATTATTTCGGCATATATCATGATTAGATTTCATAAACTATTAAATTCTATTGAGAGTCTTATATACTTATCTATTTGGTTTCAGCTACACCCAGTTCAAAGAAACCAGCAAAGAAAGTTGCAGGTCTGTAAGGAATTTCTTTGTAAATCAATGAAAAATATAAGAAATACAATTTCACTTAACTTTCCAGATAGACTCCTCAATCACTTTTGTTTGAAACCAATTTAACAGGCAAGAATGCCAAGTTTTGACTCTGTTGGCTTAAATGGGAATGAATGATTTATGGCAAACACGGAACAAAACATGCAGATTTGCTGATGGAGTTGTTTTAAACATCTGCCATCCATTTAAATTGAGAGTATGTTGAATTGATTTCTTATTTCAGTTAGATTACCAGTAATATCACCAAGGGGAAGAAAACGTAAGTTATAATTTACGTATTATCATACCATTAAATTAGCCTTGTGAGGCAGATGTCTTAATTACAAGTTTTCCCCTGGAGGGTTGGTGGGGTTGATGTTGAGAGCGATGATTAATGACACTGTCCTCCTTATTGCACACTGCATTGCATTGTCCTACCTTTGCTGAACCATATGCAGAAAAAGGATATTCTCTATGGCTGAGAACTAGAGGCATAGATTATACACCAACATACAGTCCTGCATTGATTATACATGTATTTTATTGTAGGAACAGCTTCATCATCTAGAAAGCCAGAACCAAAATCTCCTGCTCGTAGACCAGGAAGAAAACCAGGTAAGAATATTTACTGCTTATTTTATTAGATGTTCAAATATTTTGCAAATATAACATAAATGTGATTTTATACAGAAAAATACTATGACCAATTACAAAGATTCAAGATTGTACAGTTTCAAATAATTTCTGTGAGAGGAAGGCAGCTGATAAAGGATTTTGAAAATCATATTGTTCATGTGAGCTGATTGATGATTGTGGTCATCAAATTCTTCATTTTAATTTTATAGCAGAAAAACCAAAGCTTAAACTCAAACAGCCTGCCAGACGATCTGTTGGAAGTGAGTATAACTTTATGAATTATTTGGTGTAGAAAAGTAGGCCAGAAAGTTTCCTTCCCTATCAGATTATGTGATTATCAATAGTATTTCCTTTCCCATGAAATTTGTTTTTTAAAAATTCATGAAAGTTTGATAAGAAAAGAATTAATACAGATTTATCCTGATTGTGAATTAACCAACTCTTAAATGTGATTTACAATATTATTCTGGTTCTTTTACCGTTTGAAGTGGTATTTGAACAAATATTAGTTCTGATTAGTATCGCCATTTGTGGCCGGTGTGGATAGTGAGACAGAGCATGCTAACCTTTCCAGAATATGCGACTGTGTTTGCCAAAGCAACATCCCTTTTGTCCATATTGCTAATATTTTGTATAGTTGGTATAATAATTTATATCATGTTATTTCTATTGTCAGGTATTACTAAGAAAGATCTAGCATCATGTACAGCATGTGGTTCAGATATCAATATTAGAACAGATGAACCATTTCAACATCCAGATTTAGATGTAGTTATCTGTCAGGTAGGATCTATAGTTTTCTAGCTGAGGCTAGTCTTCAGAGGCTACAGTAACTACTGATGAAATATGATATGTTTAGTGGCAAGATCCTGGAAGAGTTGTCTCCAATTTACAATATTCATTATATGGTGTGCTTGCTTTTGCTAAACTTGGCTTCTGAAAAATATATTTGTGCACATTAAATAAGTTGAAAAAAGATGCCTTTTGAAAATTTCAAGCTTGATAGACATTACAATTTTTCATGTCTATATCTTTCTATGCTCTTTAGGTGTCTCAAATTTGTCCACACATAATGAATTTATTGTTCAATATTGACAGGGGTGTTGTGAATTTTTAAATTCCGGTGAAATTACTAAAGATGAAGATGGGTTAGATGAACAATGTAGTTGGTGTGGTGAAGGTGGAGACTTGATAGGATGTGATTTCTGTGACAGAGTATTTTGCCATGGTTGTATTGAAAGAAATTTTGGTAAAAAGAGTCTCAAATCTATCTTGAATGCAGGTAAGGAATATTCATCAGCAAATACTAAAGTTTAAATAAGACTTACAAATATTTTTGCTCTGTTGTCTTATAAATTGATCAAAAATGAATACGAGGGATTTAAAGGGACAGATGAATTATGAAATTTGTAAAATGGATTGTGAAAAGAGCCATAGGATTTAAGATCTTGCACACAAGTGCAAAAATCCTCAAACAACTTAATTTGATGGTTTAAATGTTTAAGGAAAATGCCATCTTGATTAAGCTAGGTAAAATTCCACATTGTCTACTGCCACGTCCTGTTGTCAAAATTCCTAAACCAAGACCTATCAGGTGTTGCTAATATTGTCATTGAAGTGAGAAATTATCGTCTTAGAATTGTTCAATATTTTGTAGATGAGGATATGAAATGGAAATGTTACGTTTGTGACACCACACCAATACAATCTCTAGTTCAGAAGAGTAAAGAGTTATTTGAAAGATTACAAGAAATTGATGAAGAATGTTCTACGGTTAAAGGAAAGGGAAAAGGAAAATCAACAATTCAGCCTAATTTTAAAGTCGATATCGATTCAAATGGTATTATTGATAAAATTGGAAAAATGATAGTGGCGACTTCTACACTCCAAACTGTTTTAGAAACACTGCGTAGTGATCAGAAATCTGATTGTAATGATGAAAATTCTACTAAACTTGACAAAGCTAGTGAAACCAGTTGCCGTGATTCAGTGGCAAAGGCTTTAGACACTTATTTTAAGTCCGTGCAATTCATATCTTCTGCCAAGTTTGAGAAAAAACCTGTCTCCCCCCAAAAATCTGAAGAAGCCATGGAAACAGATGATGTTCCCCTGACCACAAATTCTACAGAGGAATGTAAATCCACAAGTAAAAATGTTTTGTCTGATATCAGTGACTTCAGTGACAGTGATAAGGAAGTTAATACTGGTAAAAAAGAAATTGCAGACTTTATAAATGATGACAGTGCTTGGAATTCTGTATTTGGACCATCAGGAGACTCAGACAAGGGCTCAAAAAAGGACACTATGGATAAATCAGATACATCTAAAAAAGTAGAAACACCTAAAAAAGTAGAAACACCTAAGAAAGATGGAACACCTAAGAAAGATGGAACACCTAAGAAAGATAAAACACCTAAGAAAGATGGAACACCAAAGAAGGACCCGTCATCACCAGTTAAATCTAACAAATCAGCAGATAAAGAATTCACAAAGGAGGTAGAGGAATTAGAAGATTCAGAAAACAAAGTTGAAGATGAACAAGATAAATCTGAACAAGTTGAAAATCAGGAAGTTTCTGAAATCATTACAGAAGTAGAAAAGGAAACAGAAGCTGAAAATGGTACTGGAAAAGATAATAGTACAGAAACTGGAAAAGTTGAAGAAAATGGCAATGGAGATATTGAAGAAAAACCAACGGTAGAGACAAATGGGCATGGTTTAAAACGTAAATTGGCTGATGTTTCTATTGACTCAGATAATGAAACTAGTGTTAAAGAATCTAAAATATTAGACGAAGATTCAGCTGATGACCTGCCTGCTTTTGATTCTTGAACATCAATTATTTTTAGTTAATTGAACCACGCATTTTTTAAATAAAAAGAAAATTATAAGAGTATATATTCAAAAGTAAACTAACCTGGTCACCTAGTGAACTTATCTATACAACATAAACCCTGTGTAATCCAATAAATCCATAAAAAAAATAATTATTGAAAAATTCTTAACCTTTTTAAGCATTTTTCAATGGATGCTTATGGATTTATGGATTATGTTGTTTTTTTAGGACACCATGTAAGTAACTGATAAATAGATAAATTCTTATTGGCCAAGAATTTCACTTTTATGTTCATTCTAATAGGTAGCATTCCTTTAAGAGAATATTTCAATTAAGATACAAAAATAGGCTCATCTCATTCCTGTGACCATATCAGACTATTATGGGACAGTAGTTTGTTAGTGTTATCTTAAAACTGTACACTTCTGTTAGTTTGAAAAGAGAATTTAGCCAAATGAATATTAATTTGTGTGTATGTACTTAATAATTTTCAAGTTTATATGAGATATTGTATATGTGAACATAATGACTGTTTATAATAATTCCTTCCTACAGATTCACTGTCTGTATAAATATCATTGTTGCTACAGGAATATTGTCCAAATATATTTGCTTCACTGGTTGATTGGGCTCAATTTCAGCTATCTGTATCACTTTCAGGATGTTATGTCCATTATCACCGGGATATGTATCGGGTCTTGGTTTTGTATTTGTAAAATAACCTATTATTAAATTTCCATTTTAAAAAGTGATACAGGTAGTTGAAATTGGCAAAGAATTGAATAGTTGAACTAGGCAAAATGAATATTTAGAAATCTAGATATCTTAAAAGGGAATACCAAAAATAATGCTTAATTTTTGTTGCTGATAGGGCTTATCACTAATAGGGACTGGATGATAGAGGCTAGGATGTGTCATGAACCTACAGACAAGATGCAAATAAGCCCTAAAATATTTAGCTAAATGAACTTTATTTTCTTCACTGTTTATGAATTAGATATGATGATTTTATGTTATAAAATAATATGTGCAATGATACTACATTTTTAGTTGAATTTTGGCATTTTAGGTTAAGTGAATAAATAGCTACAAAGATAGTTCATTTTAACCATAACAAAATTATGATTCTTAAATTTTAATTGTATATATTTTATCAGAGGATTTGTAGTAGATTTGCATGTGTATTAGGAACTTACAGCTTCTCTTGGTACTATTCTGTTTTTCTTTCTGACATTTAATGTTAATGAAACTTTAGAAAAACTTGATCAGATAATGTCTTGAAGGAAATTTTTTCCAAAACTTGTTATGTGTATTGGGGAAACTGATAGCATCATTATTCACCATGTTAGATGAATAAAAAATAATCGATTTTCCTGATGACAATGATAGTTTGATATTTTTTAGAAATTGTACATTAAGTATTTGTAGATTCACTGCATTCCAACTATTCAATGAAATTCATAGATGTAAAGAAATTATTAAGGTATTGTTACAACATTTTAAAAACTTTGTAAAAGGTTATATATAAATTTAATAAAAGATCACCCCCTTCAAAAAATTTATTTTTTTAGCAGATAAATGCAACCATGTATGCATCTGTAGCATCTCTACAATTTTCTTTAATTTTCTAAAGAACTGAAACTCATTACAAGTCATTCGGAAATCGAATAGTAGTAGTTTACAGACATGGCATAACTTGTGGCATCAATCTGACAATATTGGTTATTGATTTGGATTGCCTTGAAATTAATCAAATTACATTAGATCAGAATTTGATCGGTTTTCTTGAATATTCTTTTGCCATTTTCTTGACTATTAATGGCACTGGTATTATGTTGAACTTGCAGCAAACTGTCCTTACTGTTATAATTTGGTGCCATAAGGTAATGGTCCAGTTCAATAATTTACACTAGGTGACCAATTGAAAAATAATTATGAATTTTAATTATATGCAAAATTATGCAAATGAGATGACATCATGCATAAATTATGCTAATGAGGTCCAAAACGAGGTCAACCACGTGACCACATAAATAAGCAGACTTGGCGGCCATATTATAACATCAGACAGTGGATGAGAAGAAATTTCAAATAACCTTTTGTCATGATTGATTAAAACTCGGCTGTCTGAAATCTAATTCTTCGTCAAAAGTGGTGAGTGAACATCATCGAATTTCTAGAATGGCCTGTAGATTTTAACATGTGTAAACAGGGGCTTTCCGATAGAATCTATGCCTGTATTTCAATAAATTTTCGCGGAATAGAGGCTGAATAAAGCAGCGGTGAAAAAAAGCCAACATGTGAATGGAAGTATGGTGCATTTTGTCTGTAAATTATATCGTTGTATAGCAATCCTGAAGTAGAGTGTTTTAGATAATATCATTTCATGTTGGTGCAGACATGGGTTTTACTTGACGCTGCTAAAACAAACTGCAGAAAAAATCGCAGATCGTTCGCCGACATTTGTGACTGTCAGGTGTGCGCATGCGTTACAACCGGAAGTTTAATTCGTTGTGGTTGAAAATCGAAAGTAGTTTATGGACATTATCATTTGAAATTCTCTCTTCCAGATATCTAATTATATAGATGTGTAATTATAACAATTCTCATCTATAAATTATATTGCCGATGACGTGATGGCTGTAAGTATCTGTATAAGTCTATATAACTACTTAAAGGGAGAGATGCGCCATTTTTTGACCAATCATACCTACATTTCAGAGACCTTAATTTTTTAGTTAAGCCAATCAGTAATATTGTTCAAATGGCACATCTATCCCTTGAAGAGTCTTGGATTGACTTTGGCAAAGCTTTGGTTGATGAAAATGGTAATTGAAATTCAAAGCTCAATGTAGTCAGCGTGAGAGAGTAGGGACAAAAGACAAAGGGACATATTTGCCATTCATTTGGCCAATTGTACCTTAGCTTAGCTAATCAATAATAGTGACACTTGACACTTTTCCACATAATATTATAGAGAAGACCAAAGGAAGTGAAATTTCTAGTTTTTTTTTGTAAACAATATTTTATTCACATATACATATGAACAGTATTGGAGAACAGGCTTACGCCTATATAACCCCTTTCCACTTTCTAGTTTTAAGGGATTGTGTGAATTTCTTGCAATTCTGATAATTTTGATTGTTGATTTGAATTTTGACAGTCATTTTCATATGAATTGAAATATTAAAATACTATTAAGAGATTCACCAAAAATTGGGAGATTCAATGACCCTTTAGTATGAAATTGAATTCATTTTGACATCTTGTGGATTGATTTAATCATTGTTTACAGTGATAACTTAATTTATATGATATTTGTTTGATGAAACATATGACATTTCCAGATTGCTCTTAGGCACAAATTGTAAAGTCAGTAAATATGAAAGATATTGATTATGTCATTCTATATTACTATTTTTCAGAGCCTAAAAGATTCATCATCTAAATCGTAAGTATAGTATATTTAGATTTACAAATTTCTATATCGCTCAACAATTGATACATTGAGCACTATTTTAACAGTGGAAATATTTTATATTGTATTTTAAATTTCTGCAGAATGTAGAGAGGTGTCTTTGACATGTAGACTATCCATCGTATTAAGAAATCTTGTATAAATAGCCTTTAATTACTATTTTGATTACAGAAAGAAAGCATTGTGGAAGGTATCAATGACGTCTAAAAGTAAAAAGAAATCATCTAAAGATGAAGACAGTGAGAGTGAGTGTCAAGAAGAAGAGGAGAAGAAAGTAAAGCCAGTTCGAGAACAAAACAAGCGCAAAAGTATGGTTATATCTTTTTTTTTAAATTATTGTCAAGTGGGAGAAAGGTCATTATATGATTTGAATTGTAGTAATCCTAAATCCGTCATTTTTTTTTCATCTGAAATATTTGGAAGTAATTTTTTATGGCATGAAAAAGGATTTAAATCATACTATAATACTTAAATTATACTATAAAATAAAATATTTCATTGTTAAAATAGTGCTCAGTACCTCAATTGTAGAGCCATATAAAAATATTAAGTTCTGTTTTAATATTTCTATTTAAAATATATATCACAATACTATCTATACTGTGATATATTGATAATAAATATCATGATAGCCTTTTGTCCCAAAAATGTGCAGTCAAAAGACATAATTGTTATTCACCTTGCATAGCTTATTCATATAATAATGATTGACAGTATGCCATTCTTGCTAGGCCATAGATGGGATGTGTTATAAAAATAGTTTATATCAAATATCATTGTTTAAAGATTTTGACCAAATTCCTTACTGATTTGATATTAATCCTTGTAAGACATTTAGAAGTATCACAGCACATTTATTTCGTTATTGATTTGATATTATTTGTTATATTGCTACATTTACAGGTATTGTATCAGACCCACTAGCTATTGTGAATTGTACAGCTTGTAATCGACAGATCAATCCTGCTAGAGATTCAGTTCTACGTAAACATCCTGATTTATCTGTATTGATATGTAAGGTAAGACAGATTCTTTTTATACTTACTCCTACTTTGTGATTGTCCCAATATCTGAACAATTGTTTATAAAGATAAAGATTATTGAACTTAGTATAGTACTCTAATTAACACACATATCTACAGTATTAGTCAATAACTATACACATGCAATTCTTATAAGGTAAAGATTCTTGCTAATTTTATGTTTTTCTCAAAATAGTTGACACATGGAACAAAAAAAGCGGTATTGCATCACAGTTTGCGATATAATATTTGTCAGTAGAGATGTTTTTTGCAATACATACAATTTTCTAATAATGAATAAAATTTACCTTATTACAAGATTTGGTGACTAAAACAATGAGAACCTGTTAATTTGCCATACTTTAATTAAATTTCTCGAGGACTGAGTGCGTAGCAGATGGCATTTCGAGAGGTACGACATTGACATGGCCTAATTGGTAGATATATAGTGATTAAAAACTCGTGCTTAGCCATTTATCGATTGAAAAACAGCACA